AATCAGCAATTAAAGGTTAAATTCAGCCATGTACACATTCCTCAAGTCAAGACTGTTTTGACCATGACACTTCATCCCAAGTCAAGTTCGCCCTTACCTTAGGAGGCTTCCATCTTATTTTACCCTATTGTACACGAATCTTTCACAGAGATGCAAATCTAACACACACAAAGCACTAAGCAGTAACATCCGGCATCAACAAGGCAGGTAATTCAAGTCTTTCAACATCACATTCCTTTACATTGCCTTAGCAGTCAGCGGCTAGGATGCAATAGGTAAATTCAGTCCTTATAACCCCTCTAGCTGAGGCATAAAAGGTGGATTTCATTTCAGTCTTTGCCAAAACTATAGCTAAAGAGGATGCTTACACCACTATCACCCTCTGAAACAGGCTGGTAGAAAGGGCTCATAGGTTGGTCACTGTCAGTCCATCCCAGATGCAATAATGCATGCCACAGATTAAATTGAAAGCTGAATGGTAAATTGAATATATTTAAATCCTTTCAGTGCCATAACAACTATTTCTAATAGTTGTAATTTGTGATTTCAGATAAAAATGGCTATTCTTCTGAGCATTTCAGATGCACACGAGGCAGGAACTAATCGAAGACAAAGTGGTTTTCTGTCATAAAACTCCATAATGAAACCACCAGAGTTAAATCCTAAAGTTCAACTCCATACATCAGGCTAATCTCCAGAATGAGATTTTCTCACCACTAATCTTGTTAGAGGTAGGGCGCTGTGCAAACATACCTAAACCCATGATTACTGAAGAGATATGAATAGGATCAATTTATTGCAATAACAAATGCAAACTTTGAGGAGAATTCATTAATGCTCAAAATCCAGCCATGCAATAAATAACACTAATGAACTGAGGAAAAGGAATAGATGAACGGGTACTGGCATGATGTCTTCTGCATATTGCTGGTAAAGGGGAACTGACAATTACTCCATTTGAAATGGAAATCTAGTAGGGAATGCTAGAAAGCGAGGGAAAGACTTGTTAGAAATGCACACATTTAAAACTGTATGATGATGAAAACTGCTTGAATTTAGCCCAAAGGAGGCTATAATACCATTTTCAACACCCTTAAGCTGTGTTTACATTAGCAAACAGTGCTGTGCAACAGGAGCATGAAACAGCTGTTGCCGAGTCGCTGCCAGCATGCAAACTGTACATATGTTGTGGGGGTTACTGCCAGCTAGCTCCAGGCTGGTCCTGGGGACTGCCTGCCATGCACTGTGCCTTAGGGACAGGGCTGGAGGATCCCTCTAGTTCGGTTTTGTCAGGAGGGAACTCAGAATGCATACTCTAAGGCTGCCCTGTAATGGGAAGCAGGACATGCTGGTTGTGTGTGTGGCAGCAAACATGACATCTGCTTCAAAACCAGCCTGACTTGCACTAAAATGCACAGTGGAAGCCCTCAGAACACCACAGCTGGTTCACTCTAGGACAAAACCAGCTAGATACAGCAGAAATCTAATTGCAACACTCATTACCTAGAAGATCCAATGACAATGAGGGGTATCTAAAATAGCCTTTTCGGTACAATGAGCTGTGATACCTGTCAAAACAGAACGTAATAATGGTTTTCCAGATGCTTGGGAGCTTCTGCAGTTTGCCAACAGGAAAAATCAAGCTATTTTGGAACGATGACTGTTCAAATAGCGCACTAGGAGTTAGCTGGGCTGCTTCAGTTGATATTTGCATACCTGTATGTTCACTGCTCCTTGATTGCACTGAAGGGAATTCCTGGTCCCTCAGCTGTGATACAAAGAGCATTCATTTCATGCTGGGATCTGTGCTGGCCACAGGACGTGCTTCTTCACAGGAGATGAAAGTTTGTATGTTACAAGAGAAGACATGGTCACACCATATTATTTGTGAGGAGTAGTTTGAGAGAAAGGAAGAAGCTAGAAATGCCAACATACAGAAGACAGCTGTCATAAACAGGCCAAGTACCTGTTGCATTTTTACTACAGGAGCTACTCCCACCACCACCACCTCACTTGTTTGCGTAGCTGAGAGGATGCAGAGTACCTAGGTCTCCTCAACCAAGTCACAACACATCCAAAGACTGAAAACGCCTGTCCAGAGAGCTGAGATACTGTGACCATCTGCATATGAGAGGCAAAGAAAACAAATGACAGAACTATAGAAGATACATTAAAAGGAACAATACAGAGACTGAAAACTGAACTAAGCAGAAAGAAGCATCTCCTCACTGTTTTCTACCTGCCACCTGTGAGTTTTACTCTGTTCTCCAATTCTTACAGTGCAGGAGGTGGACAGTTGCTATGCCCTGCTGCCACCTCTCCTGGTGTAGGAGCCCTTGTCTCTTCACTTATTCCTTGACTGAAAGCTGTTCCTGCCCATTACTAGGAACAGTAACTATGCTTTTTCTTCTTTTGAGGTTCTTAGACACAGTCATCAGGCTTGTGGCAGACTTTGGCAGCTCTGTAGGGAGAAGATGAGCCTCCCTCTTGTTTTGTTAAATCACAGTCAAGTGATTAAAAATCACTGTTTCCTTTCTACCCACAACCTCATAGGAAAATGCTGGCCAGGCACCAACACTTCACCTAGATGAGAAGATCTGGCTTTTATCAGTTTTAAAATGAGTGGTTTAAGGTGGCACGTACACCACGATGTTATTCCCCCTTGCAAGTGCACTCTTAGAATGCAGAGCAAAGATGGGCGTGCACGAATTACATGTCCCTTGCAGGCATTGCCAGGAAGCCACCTTATTACCATAATGTTTCCCTCTACAACCCTAAAACAACAGGCTTCCTGAATATCACAGCTTGAAATCACCGATGGGCTGAAATCTTTAACACATCCTTCGGATCCTTGTTAAGGGCTGAGGAATTGCCTTCAAGCCTTCCTTCTGATCAAGCCAAGGGAGCCACTGGCGGTGTCGGGACGTTTGGTAGCCAGCAAGGAAAGGGATAAAGCAGGCACTTCCAACCCTGTCTCCAGAGCGAGCCTCGAGTGCTTGCGCCTGCATCAGCGCAATGATGAAATCAAGCGCACAACTCCAGGCAAGCAATGATTCTGCCACCAGGTGTCACCAAGAGGCTATAACGCCTGCTGAGACTGAAGCAAGCCTCTGGCTCTCCTGCAGGCAGGGCAGGGATGGATGCAGCACGGTTATCATCACCCCATCGCTCACACGAAGTCGTTCCTTTCTACTACTACGAGCTGAAAATGAGCTTAAAAAGGAGGATTCCTTGCAATCGACTGGCATCACTGCGCGTTCCAGGTTTACTTACGTGGCATGCAGGCTAATTAACCTTTACAGTGAGAAGCTTAACATCAGTCACAAACAGAAACTCAGAATCTCCGATTAAGGCTTTTGTCTTGAGGATAAGGATATTAAGGATATTAAGGATGTTTGTCTTGAGCCTTGATTAAATATTGATAGAGGAAAACTGGTGAAAACTGTTTTATAATTGTTTTATTTTTTTCATCTACTAAATGCAACTCCAATGGCCAAAGGTAAACCAAGTGGAATTTATCTCAACTCTGAGCAGTAACATCTAGAGGGAGTGATGAAATCACTTCTATAAAGATTACAAGTTTTCTCTGGCTGCACTCCATTTAAACAAGTCCTAACTATTCCCTTAAAGCCAAGGCTAAGCTAAAAGTACCGTCTCAAATCTACCCTGCAGTTGGTGTTTTCCTATTCTTCAACTAAACAAATCCTGAATGTGACAATGATTTGAAAGCCATTCAATTTTGAATCCTGAACTCCCAACTAAGGATACCTACTATAAACAATAATCAGAACACCAGAAAGAATATCTGTGATATCCTTTGGAGCATTATTGTAGCTACAACCTCATAACTCTCACTTGGCACAAACCAAACACGCTTCTACATACACAAAATGTCAAGGAGCAGAAGCACCGCCGCTTCTCTGCCTCCCCTGCAATCTGACTGTAAAGAGGTCAATGGGTGCTCACTGGTGGGGCAGCAGCTTTCAAAACCCACTTCTGCCTTCTTGAGAGGTGGAGAGCCTGAACAACCATTATAGAACTGGAATCCTTTTATCCAAGTGGAAATAAAATGCATTTAGAAGGGATGAGTATGTTTGTGAAGGAGGCAATGCAGACCTGTGAGAAAAAGGGGAAGATGTATCACAGGATAAAGAGTCATACCAGATAACAACTGCAAAACCACAGTTCCTCAGCATCAGCTGGCTGTCAGCACCGAGCAAAGATTCAGGTGGTGAGAGCCTGAAGAGCAGACAGTGAACTGTTTCCTGCATTTTGCAGCAGCAGCCTGGGATAACTGCTGCTCATGAGCAGCCATCAACCACCAATACCAGCTGCTCTTTGGTAACTACAATTTAAAGTAACCCATAAGCACACATCAAAATTAGCTGCTATGAAAATCAGTTACCATTCAGCACCGAATGAGCACAAACCACGTACACAGATTCTTAACAGCCTGATCAATGATGCAAGAGCAGCAACTGCACCAACAGGTCGTCATACAGCTCCTACTCCACAATGAATAGGGACTTACACAGAGCTCTCACTGCTGTGACAATGCAATATTTTCTTGCATATTTTGTGTAGAAGAACTGAAGGAGTAAGAACAAGTCCATGAGGTACCAGCCAGGTGATTTACCACAATGCCCCCTGTACTCAGCATTTTGAAGTTATCAAGCGTAAGCATCTGAAATGTAAGAATTAACAAGGACTGCTATTTGATCACTTGCTTCATCTCACAGAAACTCAAGTTATCACCAAAAACCAACCCCAATTCTCATCTCTGTCCCTTAAGCTAGCTCTTTTGTGGCCAGCTCCCCAGGAGAGCTGCTCAGCCTGAAGGGTTTCTGACAGTCAGCTAGGTTTCACTGGATCAGCCCCCATTCTCCCCTTTTCAGCTATCACAAGCAGTAATGTTGACACAAGGAAGCAAGACGTGCCTGCACAGAGGAAGGGGAGCATCGCCACCACATCAGCTTAAAGCAGGGATGAATACTACACCCTTAGTCATGTTCTTATTTAACACCCTGACTAGAGCAATAGCTATGCTGCCAGTTACAAAGTACAGTTCTGCCAAAGTATTCAGTTGAATTACAGACTGTCATACTCAGCTGTTGAAAAGGTACCCACTTAGGCCTTTAGGCAGGGTTTTATCCTCACCTGAAGAGGAAAGCAATTCTCAACATAGGAGGAAACTGCTTCTTCCACATTTTAACTTTGGGTTGATTTTTCTTTAATATACATCAGGAACTGAAGAAGCCACAACTCCAGCTGTTGATTGGGAAAGAACATCCCAACATGGCATTTGAACTTCGGCTTAGAAAAGAAACAATTTTAGATATTCTTAAAGAGAAGCCACGATCCAGACTGATCAAAACCATCAGTTTTGTGCATATCTCAATCTTCCTGTTTCCCTGCACCCACCCGTACTTTTACCACCTGTCCTCTTTGATAAACATGGGAACAGTTTGTTTGGTTTTGATACGTTGCAGGGAATGCTTCCACTCTCACAACTTGTACTGCTGAAGCTATGAAACCGAACTCAAAGACAATTCAAGCAAGCCGTGGAACAAGAAGTTTCATCTCGTTTTATCTCTCACCCCTTATAAATAAAAAAGTAAAAAATGAAAGTTCTACAATGGCAACACTTTCAGTTATTAACTAGTAATTGGATTATTGATATGGCCTGTCACTGTAACGGCCCAGTGTTAACAAACTGACCTCTAGTCAATGTAAGAAAGCTTCTCTGAGCAAATAAATTCTTATTTTGAGAAAATATATTAAAAAAAAAAAATCACAGCTATTGTATTAAAATCTCTGTTGGAAACATATACAAAATAATTATCAACACATTTGGTTCATACAGTGCTGCTTTAAATCATGAAATCAATTACTTCATCCAAGGAAATCAGTGCTAGAAATGGATGCAAGGACAACCCTCTCAAGTCTGCTCGGGGTCAGACAGAATAACAGAGTTGGTCTGTATTCATTACAAAGTTGGAGCCATAAGGTAAAATGAAAGGAAGCTATGAATGCACAGAAAAAAACAAGCAACTTTCCTTGCAGTATCCCATTAAGTTACTTCTGGTTTTCTGTGACAGAACCACATTTAGAACACAAATGGCAGCAATCTCCATTCATACTATTTTATCTGTTCTCAACAAAAACCTCCTAAAGGGCACATGGATTCCTTGGGACTCAGATGTCCATTTAGACACCCCCCAATTCCAATTTCAAAAAGCCAGACACAATGACTTCTTGTTACAATTCAGGTACGAGTTTTAACTGGAGACCTGAAAAGAAGCAACCTAAAGCTTGTGAACCCCAAGTCATCCCGCTCATTACATAGTGCTGCCAACCCCTATTTAAATGTAACTATGTTTTGTAATCAAGAATAATCAAACTCTGTTCCTAACTACAGTACAACATTTAAAGTAACACTCTGCAGTATTTGTTAGCTCGTGGAAAGGTGCCCAAAAGCATCACCTGCATACATACTTCAGACTGTATCTCTGTTTGTCATCCAGCAATCTGGACTCAAAAAAGAGACAGCATCACATGGCTGTAACCACTCCTCCCTCGCCCAGTCACCCAGCTGAGGGAAAACTGCTCACAATTTCCCAGGTTCAAACACAAGTAGTTCTTTCCCATCATACAACTCTTGCAGCTGGTTTGACTCGTACTTTATGGAGGGATTTTCAATTTGCATCCCAGGCTCCAGAGCATTCTGTCCAACTATTTTAAGACTCATAACTTTTATTTTCCAGGTATTCTGCCTAATGGGACAGCTAATGAGTCCAAAAACTTGTTCAAAGATACCCAAACACGAGTTGCCTCTATGCACTGTGCCAGCCACTGCCACCAGCACTAACCCGTGCGGAGACATGGCACATTTCAGTCCGCTGGCATGCAAATTCGGGTTGAACAGAAGATATTCTTCTTTAACCAAGGAGAGCAGACGAAGGCTCACCATTTCCGCACCAACATATTCTTCCATGTTTTTTTCTAATGTGTTATAAGAGAACTTCATTTTGGCATCATCCCAAAAATGCTGGGGTCCCCACGCTTCTTCAGATTTTACTCCCAAGGGATGTTGAGAATTCAGGAGTTCAAAGAACCACTGACAGAATTCTTCTCCTAGATTACGAATATCATCTTGCAGTGACTTTTGGCTGTCTTCACGACTCTGCAATCAAGCATATGTTTTTTTCTTAGAACTGTTCAGCTTTAACACGGGAGATTACTACTTAGAGCAGAAAAATCACATAAATACTTGTTTTTACATTCTAAGACTTCAAGAGTTCTGAGACAGAGCGCCTGAAGAGAAACAACAAAGCAAAACCTTACTTCTAAGATCATAACTATCTTGTCTAGACAATCAGGGCACGTGTTTTGATTTATAGTTAGCATAGTCCCTCGCTTTGTCTTGGTCTACAATTCACCAACACAGGGGAAAATCCTGCTTCTACTGTAAAAAGGCAGAGGAAGGATTTCTGAACAACTTGTGTGACACCAGGATTCTCACACTGAGAGACAAAATTGCTGCTGAGTAGAAAGTGCCTGGGTTAGTAACTTTTCACTGGCCTTTATGTTTCCAAAGGAAGGTTACAGAAAAACAAGAAGGAGAAAGACCCAGCCTGAAAGGCTAATCTCACATTAAGGCATGTCTACTAAAACATGCTTATAAATAAGTCATTATGTCGTCATATTTTTCCTGTTCCATCTTGCTTTAAATAACTTCTTGGTACATTTTAGTTTGGTAAATTCTATTGGTTTTGGCACCTTCATATAGCTGATAAATAAAATAGTACTGATTGGGAAGTCCCCTTTTGAATATGCACATCCAAATACCTGAAGCTGATCTAGTACTTCCGATTTCTGGGGGTATTTTACCTATGTCAGTGGAACACACTAACAAAATGCATGATTAATCCAGAAAGGACTGAAAGTCAAAAAATTAATTGATTCTAGAATTTTTTCTCCATCAGATTATGTGCACGAATTTAACCTTGTTTGGCAGCAAGACTGCCAAAAATCATCTAAAAGATGCTCGGTCACATTCACGAGTGTGTTTGTAGTCTTGACCATATTTCTAATAGGAAAAGAGCCCAAACAGAAGCAGATCCTAACTTATATTTGCTTCTCCAAAACAGACAGAAGTCATGGGGTATCTCAGTTATTCTTCTAATTGTACAACTGATCACTTGTTGGACAGACTGAGACAATATGACACTGGGATAGAAGGGCTGTGGGATTTTCACACAGCAGCAAAGGCTAACTCTGGGAATAAATGCACCTCCATTCAGCCTGTCAGCAAATCCATCCTTCAAGACTGTCATAAAACCCTTTGTTCAACACTGAATCCGTTGAGAAAGTATTTTTAAGTAGTGAGACGAGGTAAACTTCCTAGCAGATGGCCAAACCTTCAAAGAGTAATTTGAAAAAGCTCAAAGATTCTTGTCTTGTACAGAAGCCTTAGAGAAAGATGGGCCAGTGGAAAAATAAGCATGACTCCTCAAAACATACCTCCCACTAGTTCCCCATAGGTCACGGACAAGCCACTTGTGACCTTTTTTCCCTTGTTTTACACAAAATCACACACGCACACTCCTAATAAATATCTAAGACGCTGGGGGATAATAAATACTTCAGAATAATATTTAACAGTGAGTTGCTGAGACAGACAACAGAGTGGTGGGTTTAAAGTTTTGAAGCCAAATTCACAGTAAGTGGTAAAAGCAAGCATCAGTGCACAATTGATCATGCAGTTAAAAACTTACCAGAAGAGGCTGACAAGCCACTTCGAGTGTTGTATCACTAGATATGCACTCCAATAAAGTACACAGTCATTTTTTGGACACTATTACAGGACAAGCTGTAATAATCCCTAAAACTATTCCCTGCAGTTAAATTCTTGGTGTGTCTATAACTAGGTGTAAAAGAATACCAAAAGTTAAGCACAAATAGTTAGGAAACAAAACGGCTTAGCAATTAAGATTTAAAACAGGTTTTTAAGTTGATTATAAAAGCATCTGGTTTGGAGGCCACTTCTTTCTAAAGGAAGCATCACTGCAAAAGCAAGGCAAAAACTGGATGCTCAAGTAACAGTCCTGTGAGCCTATGTGATGTGTACATATGTAGTTTGTTTGCCCTCTGCTTTCTCCTACAACAGCTAAGACTCTTAGAAGAGTCTTAAGAAAAATAACCCAAACTTTCCAATGTAAAGACACAGCACTTGAGGTGACGTGGTTTTTTGAACAAGAACTAAATGTATGGTTACTTTGTCGGGTTTCTCAGTATTTGCAACTTGACAGCAAGACTATTAGAAGTAAATCAAATTTCAAATTTGCTAACACTGAAGTCTAGGAAGCATTGCAATAAATATGCTTAAAGTAAGAATGAAATAAGTATGGAAAGTTGGAGACTTTTATATGGAAATGCTGTATTTGTTTCACAATAGACTGTAACTCCTTTCCAATTCAGTTACACAGGTTCACGATACCTATTTCTTCAAAATGGTGAGGGCCACAAGAATTAAGAGGAAGAAAAGGCAAAGAAAGAGGTTTGTGATAAATAAACCAGCTGAATTTCTCATTCTCTGTGAATGTGTTTTAAGTATTTTGGAGAATTTACTTACCTTCAATCATAAAACTATGCTACTGCATAACAGCAATAGTAATACAGTAATACTTGGGAAGTGCTCTTGCAAGAACAGCATTTTATTTCCAAAGCATGCAAACAAAAACTTGTTTTGAAAACAATTCTCAGCTACATCGTAATTCTCAACAGGTAATCGCAGAGAGAAAGCTCATTGGAGTAGGTTATCAACAGCTACAGAGCTCTAACAGTCCAGCTGGTGGGGCTGTTGCCCATTAGGTAGCTGAAGTGTAACACCTGAAAGGTGGTTATTTAGAACTACATGGTGAAGATCCAAGGCAAATAAAACATTGGAAGTTAATTACACCACAAGGATTTGCTAAATATCATCATTTTGAACTTCCAAACAACTTATAGTTGCCAAAAAAGATAACAGTTGCACCGTATTAAGTGCTTCTAATATCAAGGGAAAAAAAATCACATGGACCTGGCAGTGCTACAAACTGTACATTTCAAAGACATAAAAATTTGCTAAAATCCATTCTGCACTCTAACTACATGAGGTAAGAAGGAAAACAGCTCGCAGACAGTGCTACTTTGACTGCACTGTCTCTAGGAGTAGATCAAGGCCACCTACAAAAAGCCAGTTTTTTCCCCATTCCCTTCCAGCCCTGCAACATTTTAGTCCATAGTTTGTCAGATGTTTTTGCCCTGTGATCTATCATCAACATCTCTTTGCTCTGCTCTGGGAAGTGCCCTACCAATGGTAATGCTAGAGCCTGGCATAGTTGGAGGATGACTGGAAACCCTGGATCTATACAAAAGTTTAAGATGATCAACCCCGTTACAATAATGATAAGGGGCTATGCAGGCTTCTGTATCTTCAGCACTGTTTGCAGTTGTCCTTGAATCCACAGAATTATTTGTGAATACCCTATATTTCAGCTTACAGTACAACTTAAAGAGCATAGAAAAACCCCCACACATTAGAATTAAAAGGCACTAATATATTTTGCAAGACAGAGCTGAAGACTCTGCAAGCGATCCCTTGGCACAGACACCATTAAATAATGTAACTAAAACAAGAAAACAACCAAAATCAAACAAACTAAGAGTAAAGAGATTCAGCACCTTCCTAAAGCCAGGTGAAGAGCCACATTTTGGACATACATTAGAACATTGACACCGGTTATGCTGCAAAAGCATTGAGAAGCATCCTCAGGTCTTTCAGAAAGCAGCACTCACCTCTGCTTGTGTTTTTCTCTCCCCTGATGCTGAGGCATGCGTTGTTAACTGCCCGCTCCAGTACTGCTTTACGCGGTCGATGAGGACATGTTTCTCACAGGAAGGAGACACTGCAATTCCTTGTGTTGCCAGGTACTTAAAGATTATTTCTCGATAGACTTTTTTGCGTTTCAAGAGTTCTTCTACGCTTTGGCTGTAAAGCACAACGGCACGAATGGCTTCTGCAAGAAAAGAAATCCAAGTTAGCTGCGGCTTCTCTCGCAGTTAAAACACAACTCCTGTCCCCCTCCAAACCCAGCACAAGACAAGCCTAAAGGAAATGCAGATTGAAAAAGTCTGTTTGCAACCTGAAATCTGACCTAACGATATTAGACACAGCCAATACCCAAAGAATTGGGAACATGCTTGACAAACGGCGCTGTTTTTACTGCAGGCTTTGCTACCTCATAATCCCTGCTGCCAGCATCGATGACTGCTTGGAATTGATTATGTATTATTTGAGCTTGATGAAAAGGATGCAACCTTTTCTTCCAAATGGAATTACTAATATTCTCCAAGCATTTTCAAGCTGTTTGGAAACCACAAGTGCTTCCAGAAGGATAAAGATTCTTGCATACAATGCATTCCACCTGTAGCTCCCCAAGATAGACCTAGCCTTAACCTCAGAATAAGTTAACACCATCGTTTAGGGCTTTCTGCTGTTTGTCACCATACAACACCTCCACTCATCAAATGCTAGGCTTGGTTTCACCCTCCATTTGAAAAGCTCCAGGATATTTCAAAAGAGACCACCTGCCTGTCTTCTTGGAAGCAAGATTACACAGAGAAAGAAGAACCAGACAAATCTTTTATGGGTCTTCTGGCTATGGACTGAGTATCTTAATTTCTACATCAAATGGGCAGTTCACATGATCTGGTCACCGAACACATTGTTATGTTGAAGATTAAGCTTCAAATAAGCTTATGACGAATAAACTTCCTCGGCAAGTAATCACGTTTCCTGCAAACAGAAAATGGACAGAAAGGCAGGCAGAGTGGTAACTAAAGTAACCTCTGATTCCTTGTATGCTGAACAAGAGGTCTAGTGCCAGAAGGCTGGAGCTTTTCAAACACCACACAGTAATTTGGGAAAGTGAGGCTCCATTTAGGTTGCTGAAGACTGATGGAAATGGAACTAAACCTGGTTTATTTCAGGGATAAAAACGACAGGTATAAAGCTTGTATGGCCAATCTTGGAGGTCTGGGCTGTGCCAGATGAAACACAGCCAAGGGTTTTGGAGGGGTCTATTTCAGGGCAGCACACTGAGACACCTCAGCTAACTTACAAAAGCTTTACAAAACAAATCTCAACACCTACAAAGCGATGGGTGAGTGGTCATACCTGAAAGTGCTCCGTTCTACACCAACACAACCTCAATATTAGGTTGGTGCTTCACCCTTTCAAACGCCATTAACGCCAACAGCAAGAAGGCAACGGGGTTTTCAACGCGTTTTTGAACGGCAGTGGGGCATGGCTGGGGCACAGCAGTGCTCGAAGCTCACCCAAGGGGCAGGGAAGAGGATGCCCAAGAGGCAAAACCAAGTGCTTGAGAGCGGAAAGCCCGCTACAAGCACCAGCAGCCGCCAGCCCCTCAGCCACAACAACCTCCCAGCAGCCGAATGCGCACCGGCCGCTGCAGGCAAAGGCTCCCGACCGCTACAACCCAACCAAACGCAGCTGAGCGTCTTCCCCGTAGCTCCGCACGGCGACGGGGCGGAGAGAACCCCGGTCCCCGGCCAGCACAGGCGCTGTGGCGGCTGGTCCGGGAAGGCCGCGGCAGGAGGCACTGCCGGGCCGCGCGCACCTTGCCGGCTCTCCGGGTGCACCAGGCGGTTGGTGACGGTGTCGGTCAGCGCCAGCAGCTCCTCGGTGTCCAGCAGCTCCAGGAGCTGGCGGCACCCGGCCTGCTCCCGCTCGCTCAGCCCCAGCGACGCCATCGCCAGGCCCGGCCAGGCCCAGCCCAGCGGAACCGGGAAGCGGCGGCACCGCCGCATCCCCACGTAAAGCCCTAGCAACGGCAGCTTCCTGTGCCCCCCGGGACGCAACGGCTGGAAACAGCGGCTGGCGCTGAGGTTCCGCCCCGGGAGCTGGCGTGGAGGGAGACCTCTACCGGGGTGCGTACCCCGGTCCTGGGCAGCCCCATAGCCGTCAGCAGAGAGCAAGGGCCAGGCTTGGGTAGCCCGCAGGTGGAGGAAAGCCACAGGGAAGGCCAATAGTACCGTGGGGTGCATGGGGAGGAGTGCGACCCCGGTGATCTTCCCCCCGGGTACTGATCGTGGTGAGGCCACAGCTGGAGCGCTGTGTGCAGGTCTGGGCTCCCCAGTGCAAGGGGAGCTACTGGACGGGGTCCAGCGGATGGTCAGGGTCTGGAGCGTCTCTCCTATGGGGAGAGATTGGTGGAGCTGGGCCGGTTTAGTCTGGAGAAGAGGAGATTGAGAGGGGATCTTGTCAATGCACATAAATATCTCAAAGGAGGGTGCCAGCAGGATGGTGCCAGGCTCCTTTCAGCGCTGCCCAGTGCCAGGGCAGGGAGCAATGGCCATGCATTAACCCACCAAAGGTTTCATCTCAACATGAGGAAGAACTTCTTTATGGTGAGGGTGGCAGAGCCCTGGCACAGGCTGCCCAGGGGGGGTTGTGGAGTCTCCCCCTCTGGAGACCTTCAAACCTGCTTGGATGTGTTCGTGTGGCCCTGCCAAGCCAACCTGTCCTGCCACAAGGCACTGGGCCCCAGGCCTGTGGGGACCACTAATCCTGCTCGCCCTCAAGCAAGCAAAGAAGGCTGCAAAGGAGAACGGAAAGTGAATGCCCCGCATGTGTTTAATGATGACTTTGTCATTGATGCAGAACCCACACATCCAGGCTGCTTGGAGACGGAGGCTTTCCACAAACAAGGCTCCTGGTGGGATCCAGCTGTGTGCAGCAGCCACCGTCAGACGCTTGGGAATGGCTCGGTGCTCCTGCTTAGGTCCATGCAGATGCTGCTGGTGGAAACGACCTTTGGAAGTCTACTGGAAAGCCTCAAGCTGTGGTAATGCCTAAAGTAGTCACTTCAGCTGCACTGGTGGATCTTTGGATAGCCGAGATGCAGACCTTAAGGTTCTGAGTTAGTCTTCCACTTGTAATGCAGTGTATAAAGGACTGTCATGGTGTAACCCCAGCTGGCAACTATGGCCATTCAGCCACTTGCTCACTCCCACCACCTTGGATGGGATGAAAAGACTCAGAAGAAGGTAAAACCCACAGACTAACCGTTTAATAAGTAAAATATAGCAATAATAGAAATAATAATATTGATAATAATAGGGAACGGCAAAAAAAAGGAGAAAAAAATAATTGAGAAAACCCAAGGGATGAACAATACAATTGCTCAGTGCCTGCTGACCGATGCCCATCCCCTCTCTGAGCAACAAAACAGGAGCTCCCAGCCAACTCCCCCCCAGTTTCTATACTGGGCATGATGTGCTGTGGTATGGAATATCCCTTAGGCTCGTTTGGGTCAGGTGTCCTCTCTCTGCTTCCTCCTGGCTTCTTGTGCCCCTCCTCACTTGCAGAGCATGGGAAACTGAAACGTCCTTGATCAGGGTAAGTGCTACTGAGCAACAGCTAAACCATCGGTGTGTTATCAGCGTTGTTCTCACACTAAAACCAAAACACAGCCCTGCACCAGCTACTGGGAAGAAAATGAACTCTAGCCCTGTCGAGACCAGGACAAGCTGCTGAACACCCTGGGAACTAACACCAAGCAAGCTACGTGTGTCTGCAAGAGTGGGAAATACGACAGCACAGCACCTGCCCGAGGGAATGAAGTTCTACAAGCCAAAGCTGCTTTTCTACAGCAGGCAAGGCTTGAGCCACTCAGCAGTGTTTTCTCTGTGACAGGTGGAATAACCAGCGATGATCACTTTATGGGTAGGGGAGAGAAAAATAAAAGGAGGGGAATAACAGAAAAAGTTTTAAAAAAATAAAATTATAGAATTATAGAATGGTTTGGGTTGAAAGGACCTTAAAGCTCATCCAGTTCCAACCCCCCCCCCCTCACCTTTCCCTAGCCCATCCAACCTGGCCTTGAACACTGCCAGGGATGGGGCAGCCACAGCTTCTTTGTGCAACCTGTTCCAGTGCCTCCCCACCCTCACAGTAAAGAACTTCCTAATACCTAATCTAAATAGATAGAATTATAGATAAGGTATATGGTATTAAAGTATCTGGCATGACTAGAACTAGTGATCACAGAAAAAAATGTTTCAAAGAGAGAAGCCCTAGTTGAACTAAGAACCATAAGCCATGTGAGGGCTGGTGCTGAGAAAAATACAGGTGCCACTAGTGCTTAACCTTGCTGTGGCAGCAAAAGCAGACACTCATCAAACCCATGCTATAATACAGGTAGCATAAGGAGGCCACCTTTTGGTGCTAAAGCTGCCTGTGGTTTCAAAAATAGGAAGACCTAGATGCTTCAAGGACATGCAGGCTGTCAAAGACAGGAGTTAAAATTACTGGTGATGCTTTTGCACAAACAGCTGAAGACTTCTTTATGGTAGGCTCTGTGCAGATCTGTAATAACAAATGCCTGCCCTCAAGATCTTGTAAACCTAAGATAGAACATGTACATGAGCAGAGAACACATTCCTACCCCCTCCTACTATGCATACGTTTGAGATGATTGTTTCCTCTTTAAGACCTAAAACACTGTCCATGCAGATCTTCCAGGCTTGTCCAACACGCATTCAGCTAGAACAATAGCTATACTCTTGAGCTATAGCAATGAATTCAACATGTACCAGAAACAGCTGAAACTATTTTGCCCATGAATTTTAAGTCCAACTTTAAGATAAAAAAATCAGTCCTAAAGCATCTGGAAAGATTCAACACAATAATGCTTGCTGTCTGCTGTGCCAGATTTCCCCTCATGTCTATATTGATGTAATACTCTTTATGCAGTTAGAGCAACATAAAACAGCTTCTATTGACAAGAGCAGCCTCGTGTATAAAACAAGTGGCCTTGCCATAGAGCTGTTACACATTAAGACCAGTTACTTGCACACTCTTCAAAGACCTCCCACCGCTATATGCAGTGCAGTGTTCTGCATATCTGTATCAGAGTACAAAGCCAAACTGGTTCATCGCAAATGGAACTACCTGCAAGCCACCAAGTTAATTTTGCTGCTGTAATCCTGACTTTAAAATTAATCCTTACAAGCTTAAAGTTAGGAAATGCTTCTGAGAAGAACAGATGACCTCTCCTTCGTTTTGCTTATGTTTCAATAAGCTTGCTTAGATTTGCTGCCTTCAGGGGTATAATATCTAACTGAATACTCTAAAATTCAAGGGGAAACAAATCAAGTGCCATTTAAAACATCCGATTATTTTGAGATGCTTACTGTGGTTTTCATTACTTTATTTTCAGGGGGGAAAAGGGAAGCAGGTTGCCTTGGAATGGTCACATTCCCACTAATCCTGAGAGGAGAAAAGCGCATTGGCAAGGTTTTGGTAGTGGAGGAGCTACAGGGGTGACTTCTATGAGAAGTTGCCAGAAGCTTCCCCTGTGCCCAACAGAGCCAACTCCAGCCAGCTGGATGGTAGCACCTCTGGAATAACATATTGAAGAAGGGAAAAAAGTTATTTGTTATATATGTTATATGTTCTTTATATATCTATTTTACAGGAGCATAGATATATTCTATATAACAGGAGTTACATATTTTACAGGAGCAATTGCAGCCGGAAGGGAGTTTGAATATGTGAGAGAAACAGCTCTGCAGACACCAGTGAAGGAAGAGGCGAGGAGATGCCCCAGGCACTAGGGCAGAGATTCCCCTGCAGCCCATGTTGGTCCATGGAGGAGCAGATCTTCACCTGCAGCCTATGGAGGACCCCACGCCAGAGCAGGAGGATGCCTGAAGGAGGCTGTGGCCCCGTGGGAAGCAAGTGCTCAAGCAGGCTCCTTGGCAGGACCTGTGAACCCATGGAGAGAGGAGCCTAAGTCTGGAGTAGGTTTGCTGGCAGGACTGGTGACCCCACAGGGCACCCACATTGGAGCAGTAGGTTCCATGGGACCCATGCTGGAGCAGTTTGTGAAGAACTGTAGACTGTGGGAGGGATTCACATTGGAGAAGTCCATGGAGGACTGTGTTCTGTGGAAGGGGTCCATGCTGGAGCAGGGGAGTATGAGGAGTCCCCCCTTAAGGAAGAAGGAGCAGCAGAGACAATGGTGATCAACTGACTGAAACCCCCATTTCCCATCCCCCTGTGCCTCTGGAGAGGGGGGGGAGGACGCAGAGAAATCAGGAGCAAAATTAAGCTCAAGAAGAAAGGAGGGATTAGGGGGAAGTGTCTTCAGATTTAGTTTTATTTCTCATTACCCTGCTCTGATTTAATAAATGAATTTCATCAAGTCACATCTGGTTTGCCTGTGACAGTAATTGGTGAGTGATCTCTCCCTGTCCTTATATCAACACCTGACCCTGTTGTTGTATTTTCTTTCTCCTGTCCAGCTGAGGAAGAGTGGTGATAGAGCAGTTTTGGTGGCATCAAGCTAGGATGAACCCACCACAAGTGCAATGTCGTCACTGACATTGGAGAGGCTCTTTAATATTCAGAATGGATCTCTCCCTTCCTCCTCCTTCCTTATCTTAAACCAAGGCCAGCCCCTTTAGTATGATTATGCTGATACCTTGTACTTCCTCTTTGGAGGTGGTGAGGGGAAAAGGGGAGAAAATCTGGGAAGTAGTTCTTTTGTCTTTCCCACAACTCAGAATTCCCAGTAGAGTTTTAACTCAAACTTTAGACTAACTTTGATAATGGACCAGGAATGTTAAGCTAGGATTCCTAAAGGGGAAGAAACAGCCTATATAAACAAAAGGTGAGTAGCACTCTTGTAAGATTAAATTGCTGTCATAATTCAGGGAGTCTCTACAAGAGATACTCTCCCTCTCCATTTAGTATTTTATTTACTACATCAGATATGATAGAATCATAGAATGGTTTGGGTTGGAAGGGACCTTAAAGCTCATCCAGTTCCAATCACAACCACAGGCAGGGACACCTTCCACTAGAGCAGGTTGCTCCAAGCCCAGTCCAACCGGGCCTTGAACACTGCCAGGGATGGGGCATCCAGAGCTTCTCTGGGCACCCTGTGCCAGCCTCTCAGCACCCTCACAGGGAAGAATTCCTTTCTGTCATCTCATCTAAATCTCCTGCCAGCTTAAAGCCATTCCCCCTTGTCCTGTCACTACACCTTCTTATAAAAAAGCTTCTCCCCACATTTTTTGTAGGCCCCCTTTAGATACCGGAAGGCTGCTATAAGATGTCACCAGAGCCTTGTCTTCTCCAGCCCGAACAAGCCCAGCTCTCTCAGCCTGCCTTCTCAGGAGAGGTGCTCCAGCCCCCTCATCATCTTCATGGCCCTCCTCTGGACTCACTCAAGCAGGTCTATGTCCCTCTTGTATTGGGAGCCCCAGAGTTGAACACAGTACTCCAGGTGGGATCTCGTAAGAACAGAGAGAATCCTCTCTTTTGACCTGGTCATGCTCCTTTTGATGCAGCCCAGGATACGGTTGCTTTCTGGGCTGTGAGCGCACACTGAAGCCAGCTCATGTTCAGTTTCTCATTGACCAACACCCCCAAGTCCTTCTCCACAGGGCTGCTCTGAATCTCTTCTCTGCCCAACCTGTAGCTGTGCCTGGGACTGCTCCGACCCAGGTGTAGGACCTTGCACTTGGCATGGTTAAACCTCATGAGGTTGGCATCAGCCCACCTCACAAGCGTGTTGAGGTCCCTCTGGCTGGCATTCCTTCCCTCCAGGGTATCAACCGAACCACACAGCTTGGTGTCATCAGCAAACTTGCTGAGGGAGCACTCAATCCCACTGTCCATGTTACTGATAAAGATGCTGGTCCTAATAGCGACCCCTGAAGAATGTCTCTCTGGCACTGGTCTCCACTTGGGTATCGAGCTGTTGACCACACCTCTGAGCGTTACCATCCTCCAACTTCCTATGCAGCGGGTGGTCCATCCATCAGCCCAGGTCTCTCCAGTTCAGGGGCACCGATGTCATGCAGGACAGTGTGAAACGCCTTCTACAAATCCAGGTAGGAGATGTCTGTTGCTATTCCCTTATCCACCAGTGCTGTCACCCTGTTGTAGAAGGCCACCAAATTTATCAGGCATGATTTGCACTTAATGAAGCCATGCTGGCTGTCACCAATCACTCCCTTATTTTCCACGTGGTTTTCCAGTTTCCATATCCCTGAAACATCAACTTTACCACAAGCACAATGCCGAAGTCAGGCACTGAAACAGGAAGGACCGGATTTAATGATACTGATACTTAGGAATACAGCTTCAGGCAGTGCTGGCTGCTGCTCCAAGTCACACAGGCGCCGCTCTGAGACCAACACAAGACAGCACAAATACATCCAAGGCTCTTTGGATTGGCAGGAACTGAACTGAAACACTAGTTGCAGGCTTGCCTTTTTTAACCCCTTCCCTTGAAAGCTAAGCAAAATAAATGGGAAATTACTGACTACAGAGCAAGAAAAGACAGGTATAAAATTTAGTGTCATCTGTAGTTCTTTTATGGGGGCACAGTCATAAACTATAATAAGGATATTTACATAACATACTTAAATGACACTGACCACTCACATTAACTCATTTTACCACTGCCACCCTACACTACATTTTCCAGTAAGTTAGCCTGCAATAATGCTGATAATGCTGATAGATGACATGTATGGCATGAAAGAATTGATTCTAAAAATGGACAACAGTAGCTAGTTACAGTAGGAAGCACATTCAGTTGAACTGTACCTCCTGTTCAATTACATTCCATAACCTTAAACTCGTATTTTATACCTCTGAAAAGCCATCATCGGTAATTATTTCTTGCATAACTCTACAGATCAGAAAAGTCTGGTTCCCAATATGACCTTTTCAACATATGAAATTCGGGTAAGTACAAAGGTATCTGCATACTCAACAACCACAAAACTGGCATCTCTTTTAACTTACATGGACTATTCCAAGCACCTCGCTGAGCTCTTTGGTCTATCGAGGTGTTTCTAATTGTTAGGTGCTTCATTCATCCAGGAACCTTAACCTCCCCTTGGGTTCAAAGCTCAGTGTTCAGTACAATGCAGCTGGGTAACACTGGACACCTAACTTCCCCTGTCCTCTTGTCCAGCCACGCTAACCCATTGCCAAGCGGACCACTGAGAAACAGGGATGCTGGGGAGGGACTCTTCATTAGGGACTGTAGTGACAGGACAAGGGTAACGGGTTAAAACTTAAACAGGGGAAGTTTAGATTGGATATAAGGAGGAAGCTCTTTACTGTGAGAGTGGTGAGGCACTGGAATGGGTTGCCCAGGGAAGCTGTGAATGCCCCATCCCTGGCAGTGTTCAAGGCCAGGCTGGACAGAGAAACTTACTTCTGGCATGGCAACGTTTCAGGCAAAGGAATTAAAACAATATCCAGGGCACAGAAGTTTACATTTGGTTAATGTCTTTTGCAATGGATTTATCAAATGGCTTGTACATACACTGCCGTTTTGATAACCATTTTGCCTGCAACATGCATATACCGTAGTACCAGGGATCTGAGAACTCTTACCCTTATGGCCAAACTGAACTTGCTTCAGCAAGGGCCTTGTCAAAAATCACACAAAGGTAAGCTTGAAGTTACACCAACACCAAAAATCACCATTCAAATTTGGGCAGAAAACAGTTTAAAAACTGCTGTCAAAGAACACCACGGATTTAGAGACTGTGAGTAATAAAAACTAAATAATCCAGCATTTTTGATAACAGTATTGAACCTTCGGAAGCCAACTAAAAAGCAACTGCACTGTCTTTATCTCTGGACTACAAGCATTCAATCAAGGGGACTAAACAAAGCAACAGAAAGCAACTGTATCACACCAGAGATTACTATCTCTAGTAGCAGCAGCATCAGAAACAAACATTAAGCTCATCAAGTGCAAAAACTGAGGCTTAGCTCTATGTACTAGTGCCAGCACATCTTCCTTAGAGATTTAGGCCAGTATTTGGTACTTGTAACGCAGAACCACTGAGGAACTTTGAACTCTTTTATGATGGAGGAAGAAGACAAACTAGAAACAGCGGTACTTTAAAACTGCTGCATCCAGACTCATCTACAGCCCTAAATTGGGCTTTTGGGCCCTTCACACAACAGTTTAGGAGTGGCTAAGAGCCATGCGTTTTGAAGCCATTGCTCCCAGGGGTAAACACCATACAAGTCATTAAAAGGGACATGGCTCTGCTGATTTCTTCAAACAGCACATAGATTTCCTTGCAAGCGTTACTCCTTTCAACCCCTACTACCTCCACCAGCCTTATGCTCCTCTCCATATGCATGTTAGAGAACACTGGATGCCCACTTTCTCACTAGGTCTATCTTCGCAGGCCTGTCCTGCTCCGAGATCCCAGGTGAGCAGATTTCCATCTCCCACTGTGTTCCGGCTGATTCCCTTTATTGGAGGAGCGCATCATCCAAACGGTAACTCTGTGCTTGTAAACCAGAGGTAAATGCACTAACGACAAAGTCTGTCCCAATGTATGTGACTACTTAATTCATCTTAAGTGGCCAGTGTTTTGAAGATGCTCAGAGGCAGACTTGAGGGCTGGAGTGCACGGTGTCTAAGGTTTAGATCCGATGGAAGCTTTTATCCGCAGGGGTGTTCTTCATGCGTCTCAGACTGAAGACTGAAAGAGCTATTCCTCTCCCTCATGCACAGGAAAGCTTCTCTCTTCAGCACTTATGTGTAATACTATGCCTTTTTGAGGACTTCTTGAACTAAGAGGGTCCCAAATTTATGAGAGCAAGTAGTTTATTAGCTAGAGGAAACAAAAAGGGAGGCAAGGCAGGGAGAGCGAGACAGGAAATCAAAGAGTTCTGGTTCAATTTCCTTGGCAATCCTGGGTATTCTTGATCCACTGCACTAGATTTAGTCTATTCAAATCCAAATACCCACACCTGGTCACCGGGAACATCAACATGTGGCAGCTTGCCACAGATGCTGCGCAGCAATCGTATACCAAACATAACACAGTAGCTGAACACTGCAGCAGTATTTTCAGAGTGATTCCCCAAAAGACAAAATCCATTTCTATCAACAACAAAGACAATGTTTTATTGAACAAATCTATGTACAGTACAAAAAAGTCTCTCAAATGAAACACTACTGTTGATTTATTGCAGTTTGATGGCTCAGTTTTAATTTGTACTCTTATATAAAATGCAAAGTAAAATAATTTAACATTCAACAAGGAAGCACAAATTTCCTTTCTTGCTGAACCTGTAACAGCGTTTACAAATTAAGAGTCCCAAAAATGCATACATTGCATTTAATCAGAAAGGTGTTATACAGTACCAAATAAATTAAGAAAATAGTAACACTACCACCCCCTTTCAGTCTTTGTGTCCATAGCACTGGTGTTAAAACAGTAAAAGAAATGAGTACAGCTGAACCTTCCAGGTGATATTAAAATCACAAAGTTTAATGTTATAAATTATCCAAACTATACAATTTATAGAGTTTTAATGAATATGGCTAAATAACCAAAGTACCAGTGACCTTTCCCCACAGATATGACCACTTTCAAGCTATTTTCAGGACTTCTGTTTCGTTGTGAAAGGTGCCTATCAAGCGGCAGCTCTTGGAAAATCAGAACTTACACGACCTTTACATTGAATTGTGATCGGGTTAGAGTAGACAGTCTTAAAAGGAAAGTCTAAATCCAAGTTACAGCCACCTGGAGGAATGTTATCAGAATACAGTTATCAGCAATGAAATGCACAGACTTGGATCCAACAAAGCTCCTGAGCTCATGTGTAACTTGAGGCAGCTTTAAGAGATCTGCATGCTTACGTTACACATGTACTTCTGTATTTATTGAATCGCAGTGACATCCTGAAGAAGTATTTCCAATGCTTAATGCCTGCGTAAAACAAACCCTTTCCATTTTAGATCTGGAACCTTTTTCAGCTCTAGAAGTTTCAGGCTTAATGTAGGGTAATACTCAACATACTAAAGAACTGTTAAAAACATGTAGAGTTATCACCCACACAAGTATCTCTTCACTCATAATCAAAGTTGCTTAATACTGCAACTATCTGAGAATACCAACAGGTATCAGAGAGTAGTTTGTATGAAATGCAATGTCTTTTGAAGTAAAAGATCATTACTTAAAACAAAAACGTTACCACCCACTTGCTACTTGAAGTCAATTCAGTGTATTTCTGACAGGTGTTAGGTGATGCTGATGCCCACCTATGGAAGAGTTCAGTTTTCCAGTTCTCCAAAGCGTACATACTGAACATATAGCATAAACAAATGGTGGTGTCCAAGAAAAGCATCTTTGAACAAAAATTAGTTTAATGCAGGTACAAAAAATTATGGTCACAGTTTATGCATGTACATAGATGCATGTATCTACACACTTAAAGAAAATACAAGTCTCAAATCATGGTTTTAAAGCATCTTCAAACACATGGAGCTCCAGGAAAAGGCAAAAAAGCACCAAAGATTAAAGGTACATTGAAAAGACTTTATACAAACATGTTTGTAATATCTATTCTCTGCGTTTTCAGATTCTTCAAACTGTAATACTTTAAAATTAACCTTTTGTTTCCCATTTCAAATATATTTAAGCAAATTTAACTAAATTAACAATGTTATGCAAAGAAAGGGGACCCTGGGAACATTCAATATAACTGCATCCTTAAAAATTAATTGGAAGCAAAAAAAAAAGTGAAAGTGCATTTGACTGATAAGGTCCCCATTAATTTTAAGTTTTAAAAACTTTTAATGTATTTATACATGTAAATATATAGAGTGTGCGTATATACGTATATATAATGAATGATGCATTTAAGTCAGGTTTTTTGCAACTGCAAAAATAATTCTTTGGTGCCTCAAATGTCACACAAATCTCAAAGTGGGCCAGTCATCAGTATTAATGTAATGCACACATACCTGTGATCATAATTTTATAACCTTGTATGTTAATCCAACTCAAAAGTTAAGGCAAGAATGTTCTACCATTCAGAAGAATATTCGTTTGAATTTGCATTCTTTTTACCTCCCAGGAGGGGAAAAGGAAGCAGAATTAATGCAAATATGTTTAATTTCACAGAGGATTATTAGCAGAGGCATTACTGAACTATTAAGTTCCAGAACTACTTAACAGCCTATTTTACAATGAAACTCTTAGGTTCGCAAGTGTGAGCCGTTGCTACAATGAACAGATCTTTTATGTACCTCTTGATTTTTTGCTCATTAGATTTCACATATCTGTTGATTTAAGCAAGTTGATCATACAAGCGTGGTGATGAACTATTTGGTAAGCAAACTAGCTGAGCAGGAATAGTTGGTTTTGGCTGTCCTACGTTGCTGTGATGACTCTGCCAGTACACACCAGGTTTTACCACTACGCTTTCCGTGTCTATGGTCACATTAATTTTTGCAGTCACCCGCAGAGAACAGGATCCCAAATGAAACCTTTCCAGGTGGCAAGACAGGGTAAGATAAATTAAATCAACACAGTAATTAGACAACATGCGCGTTTGCCACACCTCTGGTTGGGGTGGAAAGACCAACAACTACAACAGCACCTTTTTGGTTTCCAAATGTCCTGTTTTCAGTGTTATAGAGCTGAATGAGTCAAATTTCCTGTCTTCACATTCTGATTGGTTCTATGAACAGTGAATTTGGGATAAAGTGCTTAACAGTTAAGCCTAACTCCTTCACTTTCTTCTGGGAAAGGCTATCTTTTCAAGAGATGCTATTAGATAGGGTCATAACATGTCTTAAGGTTGAGTCAGTATGTGTTTTCTCCCTTCCTCTAGACAGTAAATAATTAGTTACAGTACTGAGTTGCAATCTACCACCATTAAGCAGTACCACATGTGAAACAGGCTCTTCCTGATCTTTTCCAACTGGACATGTGCTCTGCTTTTGCCTGCCCTTTCCCCACCTCCCTTTTTAAAACAGGAAGCCATCTCTTTTTGGTCATACAGACAGCTGAAGAACCTCCATATTTGCATGAAGTTTAACTCTGCTCTGTAATGCAAGCTTAACCCCCTTCGCAGTCTGTATTTGTTTCAATCTTCTGTTGACATCCACACAATCTGTGCATGTACTGCTTGTATTAAGTCTTCCTGCACCTACAACAGATGTTTTACAGGACACTTAACACACACCTTTACCATAGCCTCGCAAAGGGTTTCTCTTGCAGGCATCTCATTTCCTCTGTGCACAACTTTCACGTTTAGTATCACATTAATTGACTTTTCCTTGCACACTCTGTACTTCAAGATTTTGGCTATTTGAGCATTCCATCCATCTTAGATTCCTTTCTACATTCCTCTTTTTGGATTCTGAGTATAAGTTTGTTAAATAAGCTCCGTACTTTGGAGCAGATAATGGAATCACACACTCAAACTTTGAAAAGAGAATGCATAGTTCTTCTACACATTTCTTATCCATAGTATACTAATGTAACACTTTCTTGAATGATTCCTTCCCAGTTCTGTGGATGGGTACCCTTGAACCACACATTTTCCAACTAAAGCAGCTTTTGGAATCGGCTGCTTTTATTTCCATAAGGCAATTAACACCTCTGCTTTCTCTGCCTGCTCAACTGTATGCCTTATTTTCCTTAAACCTTCATGCTAGAAAGACTGTGCCACTAAGCTTCAATCACGCATTTGGAATGAATGTGGCTTTTCGGATAACTGGTACTTTGGGGATTTTGTAGCAACCTTTCTGGACTAAAGACCTGCAGCAGAGCTCCTATTATTCCTCTGTGAGTTTTGTTTAGAAAATGTGCTTTGTCTTTATCAAGGTCATATTTTTCTTCAGTAATTTGAGACTGCTTTATGATTAAGGCCAACTGGGAAACGAACTGATGCTTCTCCATGTAGTGTTTTCTTACACCACTCCTCTTGATGCATTTTCCCACAACATCGAATCAGGCACCTGTAAGAAAAAAACAGTGCATTGGGATGAAAATGAAGATTAACCCATGTAAATCATTCCTTCATCTAGAACACTGCTGATGTTCTTCAACATGTTTAGCTTCAAGCTTGCAAGGAAAGACAGGCTGAATTAGCCCATAGATGATCTTAAGGTCCTTTCCAACCCTAACGATTCTATGATTCTATGATTCTGTTTTACAAGAAGCCTTTTCCATTAGAGTTGCCAAACTATTCTCCCTACCCCTTTCTTATTCTAAACAGCATGTTCAATTTGAACTTCCAATTTAGCACAGTATTCCTATATAATTCTCTTAAGTTCTGGCATACTACAATTGCTTGGAAGTTATGTCTGTCTTATCTATTCCATCAGTTTGCCTGTTTTCAAAGACCATTTTCTGGTTGGGATTTACCTCCAAACCAACCAACCAACCCAGAAGGTACAGAAGACTTACTTTCGTCATCTGAATCGAATCCAAAGAGCGTCTGACACTTCTTTTGTGCAAGGTGAGCCTCAAGTGCTTCTGAATTACAGTAGATGGTCAAGCAGTTGCCACATCTAAATCTTTCTGTTGATTTGCTACAAATTTTATCTTGTTCAGAATAAGCATCTACTTCATCAGCCAAAAGTTTTCTACGTTTTGGCATGCTAATGTAGCGTTCATCAAGGTAACTTGGAGGCAATGGCCTAACATACGGCTTTGTTAGGATGACACCATATGAAGTATTCTCTGTTGTTGGATTTGGTTTAGAAGGTACTTGCGAGGCAGCAGTATTATTTTGTGGTGTATCAGTACAATTCTGTAACACTGGTAACACTGACCCATTTTCTGTCCTTGTTTCATCTGCCACTCTGTCCAAAGTTATTTCTGATGACTTTGATGATGTCTGATCTACGTCGCTGTGCCCATTGACGAGTTGGTCACTACCAGCATTACAGTGTTCAGAATTTGGCTGTAACGCAGATGTCTTTTGGTCTGTCAAACTTAAAACTGTAGTGCTACCCTCAGATGAACTTTCATTTCCATTATGAATGACATTATTTGCCTTCTTCTCCACACTTTGAATGTATGTCTTTGGTTCTGTAGAATCCTTCCTTGACTTCCAAGTTGGAATTGGTAAATCGACAGTTTCCTTCTCATTAACGGATTCATCATCATCTTGGAAACTACAAAGTTCTGAAGGATCATCTGAAGACTCCTTTTCGCTTGCATCTTCAGAACATTCTGGTGTTTTATTTAAATAATGCTGAGCCTCGTGTTCATACAGCAAAGGGAGCTCCTCAAACAGCTCGCAGCACTCTGCAAAATTGCACTGCGCTTTAAAAACACTGTGACTTTTTGTATGCTCGGCAAGCTCAGTTGACAGCTTAAATCTCTGATTACAATTAAAGTGTAAACAAAAGTAAACGTTTGGATACACGTGTCTCTTCAGGTGGTCTATAAAATGTTGGGAATCGGCAAATTTTCTCTGACAGAAACGGCATTTTCCTTTATTCCACTTCATTATATGCTGCTGCACCTTCAAATCAGTTGGATGACTTTTCCTCGCGTGTTTATTGAGGAATCTTATCTTTTTAAACACTCTAGCACAACCACTAGCAGGGCACTTAAAGCTTCCTTCCTCATCCATAGCATCACCATCTTTTTGAGGACAAAAAGCTCCATTCACTTTATGCAGAATAGGTGACTCTTTACTGGAGCTGTCATCGTCTTCAGGCAAACTTTCTGTACTTAAAGCATCAGGAACATTATTGAAACAGCTGTCACTACTATTTTCAGTAGCATCATCCTGGTCACTTAGATGGTTTCCCACCGCAAATACCTGTTCCGTGTTCTGCTCCTCCACTTGGACCATTTGGTCAGCACTTGGTGCTCTTGCAGTCTCTGGTTCGTCATCTTTGGAACCATCCGAATTCCCATTTTCAAGAGAGGGAGTGACATCAGAACATTCTACTTCATTAAGAACAGAAGCCCGCCGACCAGCCTCAATAACTGCAGCAAGATGTTGCCTTTCTATCTTCCTGACGTGATTCTTCAAGTGCTTCAGCATAAGTCCTTTTTGCCTGAACTTTCTGGTGCAAAGTACACAGGAAAAACTGCCCTTTTTTTGGTGAGCTTGTGCATGTTTTACAATGTGACCACCAAGAAACTCCTTGTTGCATATCACACAGCGGTGCCTTGGTACGGTTTGATCTAACATTTCAGATGCCTCAAGAGCTTCATCGTTCTTTCTGGCATTACCTTTGGACTGGGCTTCAGAGACGTCTTCCGGGTCAAGCTCACCATTGCTAACATCTGTTAAACAAGCACGCTCGTCACCCAGAGCCCTATACTCTGTTATCTTCTCTGTATTTGCAGTAGAGTTTTCCAGTGTATTTTCACTTAAGCTAATGAAGGCTTTATCCCCCAACAATGCTAAACAATTCTGCTTGATCATCAAGAAATTCCAAAACTCGGGATCAAAAAACAAACCTTTTTTCAAAATTGGAAGCAGTTCAAAACGTACACGGTTTTGAACAGAACTAGTGCACTCGTTGTATTCTTCATCTGCACATTTATATAAATGTTCAACAGTGTAGTAAGATTCCAAGGTGCGCTCAAGAAAAAAGATTGAAAGAGCACAAATTCTGAGGATCTCTAAGTCATTTGGCAGAAAATGAGCAATTGCTTTATAAATAAGACTTTTCATGGTGGGATCTTCACGGAGGTCCAACTGTAGGGCACAACCACATATCTCAACGCATATCTGAAGACCATCATCACCAACCTGCGGAAAGGAAATCACAGTATACATAATTATAGAGTATGCATAATGGTGTTTTCCTTATGGGCTTACAGAACTCTACAGCTTCAAAGTAAAACAAAAGAATCAGACTCGCAGGGGAAAAAAGAGAGCTAGTATAAACAATGCCCAAACATCAACTTCCCATGTATTTGTATTAATCTACGCTCAAAACAGCAGTTCAGAAAGGATCCTGCTCGCATATTTCACCTAAAAGCATGTACATCTTAGAATAACGTTCAAACAAGACTGTAAAACACAGGTACAACAATGACCCACAAGAACATCTGGTTTGCACTGGAAGCTATGTAGTTACTATCAGCAAAGCTTCAGATGCTTTTTCCATGTGCAGTACTGTAATTAAAAGACAATTATTTAGGGATATAAAACAAGACTGCAGCAAATCACATAATACTGTTCTAGCAGTATCCTGTCTACATCTTCATTGCCTATGCTGTTCCACACTATCACTGGACAGTTACTCTGTATTTTGTCCCTGTTCTAACTCATTTAACTTGCAGTGCATAAAAACAGAAGCTATATAATATTGCCTTCAATTTTGAACAATAACCACCACAGAAGCCTTAACAACCCATGGCCAAGCATTCTAAAAGGCTTGAGTCTTCAGAGTGAAGACTGAGCAGAATCCCTATTCCACAGTGAAGGCTGCAGGCCCTCCCATTCAGATGGGTGATCAGAAATATGCTGCCCAACAGGCAGCAGATTAATGTAAAAAGAGTTTCAGGAAGTTTAAAAATTAATACCCACCTATACTTAAAGGTGCATTAACAAATACACACAATGCTGCATACGTAGTAGGTTATTAAAAATATATATTCACTCAGATGAAAATACAAATAACAGTTATTCATTTCACCACAAGTGTTTTAGATTACATACCGAGATCAAAATCTTGAACAGTAATGTTTCATTTAGAACCATACAGCAGCACCCGTGACCATTCACAATTCACTTAGGGCACAGAATATGAAGGAGCTCTGTGCAGTCAGGGTAATGATAAGAAACACATTTGGAAACAACTTGCACACCTGTGCGCAAAGCACGTGTACGGGACAGTGTAAGCCTGACATCTGAAGCATGAAACACATCACACCCTTCTGAAGCAAAATTATGTCTTCTCCTGGTTTAGCCTAGCTTTTCCTTTGTTACGTTAAGCATTTCTTCAGATTTGGTTCGAACTGGTGGAAGGATGCAAAACTTAATGAGGGTGAAAGGCAGATGAAATGGCACCATGCAAGTCCTATTTCCTTAAGGAGGAAGGCTAAACATCCACAAAACAAATGAGTGAATTTTTCACGTTTGCTCCACGTGTTTATTATTAGTTTCCCCATTTATTTATAGGGGATGACAATCCTTAAAATTACTACAGCAGAAAGAAAAAAACCTTAGAATTCAAGAAAAAAACCCCAATCTTAAAGACACAGAACAGATCAAGGGCAATCATAATACTGATGTGCATTCTGGATTTGGACAGATTTTTAAGAGAACAGTGTGCTATTCCCTACCCCCTCTTACCTTTGCACAAAAAATGGCCATTACACAACATAAACATCACTCCTCTTGAGTTACAAAAAGAATGGGGGGGGGGTAGGGTAAAAACAAAGAACCAGAACTTACTTCATCCTTAATGACTTTCATGAAAGGGAAAATTACTCTGACATTGGTTGCGATTCTTAAAAGCTGGTAGCACTGGTCGACAAATACTTGTTTTGATGGGTTAGATTTAAGCTGCAGTTTGCTCCAAATGAAGATCAGGTCCCTATAAGTACAGAACAAAATAGTTCATAGTTAGATGGAGTTTTAGAACTCTTATCACTAAGCACGATGCGTTACTAAGAACAATTATTTGCGTATTCAGTAACTAAAACTATATTTGAGGGTGTAATACCAAACTAATTAACTGTACACAATGTGCACAATGGAAAATGCAACTTAATTACTTTGTTAAAGCATTCAGGGTATCTCCTATCACTGAGCCAATTAAATATTCAACAGAATATTAATGTATTCAGCTTAGTATCAGAGAACTGCATAATAAAATCAGATGCTACAGCATCTAGCCCTTAACACCACAGGCAATAAACGTCAGGCTGAACAGCAAGCTCTGTGTGCTCTTGGGATTAAGTTACTTTCAGTGCAAGGATAAGGAGTCCTTCAAGAAAATAAGTGTTTGAATGTGGAAAATGGGAGCTTTGTAGAAAGCTAGCTTCTGATACAGTCCATTGACAAGAAATATTGATGTTCTCCAGTTGTGTGTATTACAACACTATTTTCTTCTCTTAATGCTGTCATCGCTGCCCTTTCTAGCCAAAAGCAGTTACATGAAAGCATCAGTTTCTACAGCTATTCATGCATCTCTCTAATGTTTAGTCAAACAGCATTTCTGACTGATATAAGGAACCCTAAGAATAGATTGCTAGACCCTGCAGCAGAGCTCCTGCACAGGTAATGTGTTTAGTCTACAAAATACAGCTAATTGAAATTTACAGCCTGTAAGTTCTATGTACTGTAATTCAGAGACTTGGAAAAGGCAACTGGACTTCACTTTTAGTTATAAGAAAATTTGCCAGCACTAAGATTTTACACGGGAGTAGATACAGTTAGGACTAGGCAGAAATCCTACCATAACGTTACAATGCAAACAGGGGACCAGTCGACTTTGATTTTCTGAAGGAAGACACTTCTTTATTCCACCAGCCTCCTCCCTCAGAAAACACAAACCCAGTTACTATTTAGCTGATCTTTCAGAGCCTCTACTCTGTGCCAGATACAAATCAGACAAACCTTTTGAGACTGAGCTTGTCTAGCGAGGTGAGTGCCAGCATGAAGGGAAGTGACAGAACTGCCCGTGACAAAACACCAACTTCGCTTTGACATTTAGGACAGCTCTGCAATTCTGCCTGACATTTAAGGGCTAGACAAAAGAAAATCATTGTTTTCTTTCATTCAGAACCCAAGGAGACTGAAGTCAAAACAGAGATCAAGCTTACGTGGGGAAAAACTGTGAAAAGGAGTTCTGTAAGCAGCTCTACCCACAAAAACATGTATCAGCCTTAGAGGCAGATAAAGATACAAGCCTTTTCCAGGCTGAAACCAAAACACCTGAAGCCTCTGCAAACTTCACATACAAGTTTGAAACTTCCTGCACCAAACCATTCACAAAATCCAGTTAAAGCCTCAAGCTGACGTTCAAAAGAACTGAGCATTTTCGCTGTTAAAAGTTAGCAAAATTAAATAACTTATCCTCTGCTTTGCCTCATACCATTTCAGAGCAGCCCATTTCAACGCTAATCCCAGAGAAACAGAAAAACCAGATTATTCTTCTGAGAGATTAGTGGTTAAAATGGCTTGCCATGTGTTCAGACAAGTTGGTACAATGACAAGAGCTGAAAAAGGAATGGAGAAAACTCAAAGTAGAAGCAATAGCTCCGGGGTGAAGAACAAGCTGTTAATTCAGTTTAACCACCACGTGATTAGACCTTGATGTGAAACAGAAGTCAGCAGCATTTGATGTATTATTTCTGTGGCACTGACCACAACACAGGTAAGAAACTTGAGATAACGTAGGCAGGGGTAGTTTTCTATTTGCTTGATTATTATGGCACAGTAATACAGTACTTAATGACATTTACTTCTTGGATGGTCTAACTTAGTTCACATTGAGGCCTGTGCTTGAACTACCATAGACAGGTGTTGGGACAGTTTAAATTGTTACTGTGAGACCACAGAACTCCATAACTCTTTACCAGAGGAAAGTAGCCTGACACCCCCTCTACAAGATACCACAATAATTGTGTGCCTCCATCAGCAATATAAAAGAACAGTTAGGTCCGCTCTGGCGTAGCTAGATCTAAACCCTTTACTATTGTTGACAAGAAGGAAGTCTGTCTTTCCTTGGTTACAGATTAGCACACTTCACCAAAATGTTATCTAGGTCACAAAAATTGCCTAAATGCAAGACTTAAACATGTGGAAACATCCTTGACTTACTGAATTTACTAATTAGGAAGCACTTGAGAACAGACAAAACAGCACTTAAAAACTGCCTGGCAGAGAAGGCAAAGCCATTCTGCTATGCTTGTTCCATCAAAATCTTGGCTGTCTTCCTGAAGAGACATCACTTACTGATACCAGAAAGTCATTCATCACTGGACTCTTTGCTTAACAATACCTTACAAATAAATTTCTCTAGTCAGATCAAGCCCAGCTAGCTTTGTGATTCATTTGTCAGTGGGCTTTCACTTCAGAAAAGTAGTTCTGATCATAGTTTATTATTAGCATCAATGAAAACAGGGAGAGTTTTGTGACAGAGCTGCTTAAAGTTAATCTTCCCCTGAGATACTATGGAGCTATTGGTTTCACCTTGGAAGACTTCAGAGAGGTTGCTTCACATGAAGTGGTAACAAGTACCTGCTATTTACATCTTTCTAACCTATTTTGATATTTATCTTTGCTAGTAGTGTTTGCCACTAGATGTCTGCTAGATCTGCAAAGTCCTCAATTCCAGACAAGGCAAGATGATTTATGCTGTGCTACATTAAAATCTTCTACATGATGTGGATTAATTTAACCTGGCTCCTACTTCTTCAGATATTTGAAGTACAACATAGACATGCCTTCACAAGCTCTGCTCCAGATTACATTATCTAGTAAGCAGTCCACAGATTCTCTTGTTGGGTTTGCAATTGTTAAGGCTCAGCATCTGTAAAGAATGAACTAGCTGTTTTAGTTGCCCAGACATAACTGCTCTGAACTCTTTCAAAGATCCTCAAGTTCTGTATTTTGAACAGAAGATCAAAATACTGAGAGATGCCAGAATGGTTTCCTTGATAAACAGGTATCAAACAGTACTTTAGTTTCTTCTGGAATTTCAGTTCTGACATCCACTTTGCCAGAACAAAAGGACAAACGTCTTGTTTCGACTAGCAATTTTTAGGATGGCTGATGCAAAACTTGGTTATAAACTGGGTTAAGAGCAAGGTTAACATCTAAATACAGCAAAAGACATAAAAAGTAGGTTTGATTTAAAATGTGTTTCTTAAAAGACTGAATCCCCGAAACAGAAAGCACTAATCATGAATTAGTAACTAACATGTAACTAATGTGTTTAAGTTACACCTGCAAATTTCCCAAGAAGTAAGAAGTCAGGAGATGCAGCATTTGGGCAGGAATCAGCAAAGCTGGATTCCATTCACAACCTATGCACCTTTTCAGTTGGATTTCTTCATCTGTCCTATGGGGACAGTCACGTCCACCTTTTCCTGGACAGACTGAATGAAAACTGACACTAACTATTGACAATATATTGTATTATAAATATATGTTGATCATTTTTCCAAAGGTTTTGATGCAATGCAATCACTTATTCAAAGTTAAGAGGAAAAAATAACAAATCAAATATTGTCATTTCTGACCTTCCTCACTTCCTTGAGAAAAAACCCCAAAACACCACTTCTTACTTCTCAATTCCCCAAAATCTGGGAATATAGAAACCCAATATAGACTCTAAACTCCATTATTAAAATTGATTACAAGCTTAATAAGAGCTCTATTGACTGAAGAAAAAATTAAATCCTTCCTAAATAAGCTTTTCTTCTTCAACTACACAATCAAACAAATTGAGCATACTTTATCAGTGAATGCAAATGTTACTTTTGATACAGAAATTATCCAGCCTAAAGAGGATTATCTTCCTTAGCCATCGTTCAGTCCTCCAAATGATGAAATTTGTTTTGACAACTCTTTAGAAAACGCTTCTAAAAACATAAAAGCATCCAACCATCAAGATGATTTAATGTGGATGAAGACCTTATTACTTAAATGTTTTCTAGAGTACCACCATTTATTTTATGGCTCTGTTTAAGAAATAAAAGCTCCCATATTAAGTAGCACATTTTCAGAATCATATATTCTCCTTAGGCATACTGATGACATATTACCCCCTTGTTATTATAAAGCAGTGTCATTAAACTAGCAGGACAGAAAAATACCTGCATTGCCAGGGAGTCTACAGTCTGCATATTGTTACACATTGCTAGTAACAAATGTCATATTTCTAGGCGTTTATAGCCTGAAGTATGTGAAGGCCCACCCTTCTGTTACTTTGAAACAGTTCATGTGTTATGTACCATGTAGGCTACCATTGTGCACGACTGTGTGTAAAAAGGCAAGCAGGCATAACAGATGTAGTAGGAAAGTTTAAAGACCACATTAGAATGTTTTTATCTTGTACGTTAAACTTGAGCTACACCTCAAAGTAGATGAGTCATTTTGGCAATAAGCACCGATTATCTGCTCAGCTGCTTCACCAGAGAGAAAGTATTTACCATATACAATACATGTCCCCATTTTGAAGCTGAGGGACTAGGAACGATTCACATAGCTGTAAGGCTAAGGTAGTCTTCCCTTCTTTTTCAGTGTTGCAGATGATCTCAATTCCACTCTTGCAATCAGTCCTCAACAAGTGCTATACAATTAAAATAAAATCAATTTAGATAAATTTGCTAACATGAAATAAAACCCTAGCAGACCCTGCTATATTAAAGAAGCTACTGAAAACTTCAGGACTTGCTAGTGACATTGGATTTCTTTGGACTAGCTTTTGTGTAGGTCTGTAAATTGAGATTTTGGACATTAATTTAGAGTTCTTTTGTATTTCTTAGAGCAATGACAATCAGAATAATTGTCTGAGAAATTAAAAGATGACACAAAAGCACTTTCTTTGCATGACTTAGCTTGTTCTCAAAACAAGGTTAGGAAAACAGTGTTATCTAGTAAGTGCTATCAGCAGTAAAGCAGGGCCACATTCAGCTAGAGTGTCATTTTACATAGGGGGGTACCATTAAAAAACCTTAAGGCTACTCAAAATTTATAAGGCACAGAACACTGGACTGACATCAGTTAGGCTAAAGAGCTTTTACTAAAATAATAGTCAATAGTAAAATAATCAATACACTGAAGTTACAAAATATTAATGACTCAAGTTATTTAGGGTACATTATCTACAAGTAAACTCGACCAAAAAATTGTATCTAGGTCAACAAGATTTGTAGGCACTTAACATTTAACTTTTCAAAGCTTAAACAAGCACTAAGTTAAGCAACAGCACTGTAGTTGCCTGATTTTATGACATTTGGTTCTACAAAAACAGAGTTCCGTATGTTCCTCTTGACAACTCGTATACAGTAAGTATTTAATTAAACAAAATGTATACTGACAAACAATACCTCCTGGAATAGCTGATCTTCTAATGGTGACATATAAAGACAGGTGAAAAGAGCTTGATGGAAATACAGATCTTTACTGATATCTGGATGATTTATGCAAGATTTGATAAGAGCCATTGCCTCAGGGATGCGTTCACAGGCAATAAGGTATCTGGCACGCAGTTCAAAGAACAGTGGATTTTCAGAGCTTAAATATTTGTTAACTGTACAGAAAAGAAAGATTTAAAGGCAATTAGAATATGAAGTCCAAACAACAAATATATTTAAATGTAATGTTGTTTTCAATAGTGCAATGTCAACAAATAATATATAAAAAAAGGCTCTGCTAAAGAAGCTATCAAATACTTAAATACCATCAAGAATCTGTCCTTCTGCTTGGAAACAGAAATAGTTATTTTTCTTACACCAGTAATCTAATTCAGTATTTTATTTCTAACAGATTAACACAAGGTGCTGCAAAGGATTAGTAAAATATAAACTACACAGAAGCAGATATGAACATTTCTGAGAGAGAAAATTCTCTCCTATCTCAGCACTCGTATCTGGGTGATTGTCAAAAGTTCAGGACTGACATCGCTTCCAAGGTTAGAATTAGATATTTAAAACAACTCAGTATACTCATTACCCACTAAAATGGAAGAGCTCAGAGTGATCAGAAAGTTGACTACAATGCACATGCTGTTGCTTTAAGTAGTTTCGAACACTTGGCTTTTGCTGGTGAAGTGGAAAATACACTTTTTCTTCTTCTGAAACTGCTCCTGGGCACAGTCCTTACATCCAAATCCCTAAATGCCTTTAAATCCTAACCCCCGATTTCTGGGAATCTGTTTTTCAGATCTAAAAGCTAATCTTAAAGTTAACATTGGAATGAAAATGTTTGTACTGAGATACTCAACATATACTTAAAACATTGAAGTAACTGGGAAACGAAATACATAAAAGACATGCTTGAGATCTTCTGTAGCTCATAGCAATTCTAATATCTCTTAAGATTAAAATATCATTCAAGACTACAAAATATATATATTATACTATAAAATGCTGCTTTTATTTTGAGAATTGTTTGCATGTTGTCAAGTAAATGCACACTCTGAGGTGTTAACAGTGTGTTAACATTAATGTATTGGACAATATGGGCTGATCTTCCTCTTACATTCTCAACAGCTACCTTAAGAATCCCATCACTTCTAGTGCATTCCCTGTAGTACTGTGCAGTGTTTCATATTAAATAATAAAAAAGAAACAAGATTGTCAATTTCGAGTCAACAAAGGCTGAAGTTTATACCTTGGAGGGAACATGTATTAAGAAAGTTACAAGCAACTTAAAAGTGACATTATTAGGATTTAACAAAAAAGTGGTTACTGAAAACCGCTATCTCAGCAGCCAAGTGATTCCCTCCCCACCCCAAAATAAAAAGAGCATGTATATAACAAGAGTTAAACTTGGTTTAATAAGGATGCCTGGTTTAAAAGACATTTCTTGTGCTCAGAAAAAGGATTTCTCCAAGATCTTTGTTTTTATGAAACTTAATGGCATTATATTCTAATGAACACTTAAGGAGTATTATTCAAGGTGAGATAAGGTTTCTTAATAGATGTATCATAAAGTCCACCATAAGAGAGAATCTCATTCCCACTATCCATTAGCACTTCCAGGGATAGAAAGAAAAGCCAGCATCTAACAGTAGTCATTAACTGCAAGAAAGAGTGATTATAAGGAAATACCCTTTATGCCAAGTAAAGGCCTCTCCTTCTGAATTAACATTAAAAAGATAATAAAGCTCATCACTGGTGTCACATGCAAACATTACCCAACAGATCACTGACTATTCACACTGAAAAATTACACTGGGAATACTTAGCTTTTATATGTGCTGACATTAAGTAAATGCTGCATATCTAACAACTGGTTGCATCATCCTTATCGCTCAAATGAGGGAAGACTGCAGACCACAGTATAAGTGACACTTCTCTTGTACGTAGGAAGGGGGACCCCAGAAACTACAGGCTTATCAGCCTGACCTCACTGCTGGGGAACATCACAGAGCAGATCATCCTAAGTAAGATCATAAAGCATGTGCGGGAAAAGAAGGGACCAGGACCAGTTGACAGAGGTTCATGAAGGGCAGGTCCTGCATGACCAACCTAATCTCTTTCTATGACAAGGTGACCTGCCTGGTTGATGAGGGAAAGGCTGTAGACATTGTCTATTTGGACTTCAGTAAAGCATTTGACACTGTTTCTGACAGCATTCTCCTGGAGGAACTGGCTGGGTTGGAAACTGCCTGGATGGCAGAGCCCAAGAAGTGATGGTAAATGGTGTCACATCTAGTTGGTGCTCGGTCACTAGTGGCGTCCCTCTGGGCTTGGTGTTAAGGCCAGTGTTATTTAATATCTTCACTGATGATCTGATCTGAATGAGGGGGTTGAATGCACCCTCAGTAAATTTGCAGACAACACCCAGCTGGCTGGGAGTGCTGATCTGCTGAAGGATAGAAAGGCTCTGCAAAGGGATCTGGGCAGGCTGAATCGATGTGCTGTGGCCAGCGGTATGAGATTCAACAAGGTAAAGAGCCAGGTCCTGGATCTGGGCCACAACAACCCCACACAATGCTACAGGCAGAAAAGGACCTTGGGTATGCTGACTGATGACTGCTGATCATGAGCCAGCTTTTGCCGAGGCAGCCCAGAAGACCAACGGCATCCTGGCCTGTATCAGCAGTAGTGTGGCCAGCAGGGCCAAGGCAGTGATCATCCCCCTGTACTCAGCACTGGTGAGGCTGCACCTTGAATCCTGTGTTCACCTCTGGTCCCCTCACTACAAGAGAGACATTGAGGTGCTGGAGTGGGTCCAGAAAAGGGCAATGATGCTGGTGCAGGGCCTGGAACACAAGTGTGATGGGCAACGGCTGAGGGACCTGGGGGGTTTAGCCTGGAGAAGGCTCAGGGGGACCTTACTGCTCTCTACAACTACATGAAAGGAGGACAGACTAAGAAGGTGGCTGGTCTCTTCTCTCAAGTAAGAAGTGATAGGACAAGAGGAAAAGGCCTCAAGCTTTGCCAGGGGAGGTTTAGACTGGATATTTGGAAAAACTTCTTCACTGAAAGGATGCTCAGACATTGGAATAGGCTGCCCAGGGAAGTGGTAGAATCTTCATCCCTGCAAGTGTTCACAAAACACGTAGATGAGGCCCCTAGTGACATGGTTTAGTGGTGAACTTGGCAGTAAAGGTTGGATTTTATTATCTTAAAGGCCTTTTCCAATCTAATTGATTCTATGATTCTAAGCTAACTTGTTAAATCATTCCCACTTTCTGTGTGGGGAACTCTGAAGTCAGTATGCCCCTCTGCTTTGTAAGTGAGAATCCCACTTCTAGCAGCACAATCTCCCAGAGAAGGTGTCTCCTACACCCTCCAACGCTGTTTTTGAAGAGACTGAGAGTTCCAGCTACACCACTGGCAGCATTTTGCTCCCTCCCCATCCTGGAATGCTCTCTTTTCCCAAGCATATTATCTAGAAGAACATGTAAGCTCTTCTAACCCCACAAGCAAAAGACAACTGCTAACTACAGTAGCATTTAGCCAAGTATGTGATACATACAAAATGGCTTGGGGAAAGTAACTGCTATTCCTGTTCAGCATGTGTGGTGCTTTGCTTTAAAGCAATAGATGCCAACCATCAGCTTAGAAGCTAATTAGCTGCTTACACCTGAGCTTACCTCTGTCTACAGTATTCTCTTCTAGATGTTCACAGCAGGCCACTTTATTCTCCCTAATCTATTAGAAGTTTATTGCTGCTATATTTCAAGTCTGCTGTTGTTTTTAAACCCAAAGACTGCCTTCCTTTCCAGCCACCTCAAAATAGAATGCAACATCTCAAAGCATGCAACTCATGTAAAAACAGACCCAGGGAGGTTTGTCTTGGCCTAAGCTTCTCTGTGTAATTAATGAATCAAAGGCAGGATTATGCAGTTCATACAGTACATATTTATCAAACTGACTTTTGCAAGTAGTGGTTGGTGAATCAGCTATAATACGCAGTTTTCCCCATTTAAAATACTGATCCCTAAGGGAACTATATGGCCAGGTTTCAAAATATACACCAAATACTGCTAGCCTAATAAGCAGCACAGAATGTTTGCTTCGTGTAAGACTTCAGAGGAATCAGATTTTAGAGGAAGTGAGACAAGAAAGGAAGAGCTTCCAAAAAGATACGATCTAAAATGTTTGTCATCACAGCTAAGATATGTCAAGGGGGTATGTGGGGATATTAGAAGATAAAAGGAGGAAAAATACCTCAGCAGAGGGGAAGGAGATGCGGCCTACAACAAAAGGAAACAAACTAATCATCTAGTGACAACAGGCAGCGTCATTCCTACTCTGCCAGGTTAAAACTAAGTAAAAGTCCTCAAACTGTTACCCGTCATACAGAGGCATCATGATGATCAAAGGAATCATTAAAGCAAAGGACTAAAACAATTTCTGCTGGAGAGATGGAGATTGAGACTTGATCTAACTTCAGATCGTAACTACCAAAAATTTTAGAGTGTCATATGATATAGAACAAGCCAAGGATAATCTTTGTTTTCATTTTGTTTCTGTAGGTATTTGACCAGAAGTTTATTAGATCTATAAATCACATGTAAACTAATTTGCTCAAGCAGCTGCTTCACGAGAGAGACAAAACAACAAAGACTACACACTTAATCATGTTCATGTTGCTAGCACAATACTCTTCTGGTTAAGAAGGCAGCTTGCTCAGTAGCTGTGACTTTATAGTCCTCTTCCTCACTCTACAGAATGAATGCACTGTCATAAACAGAGAAATGAATTAGCATTTTTTAATCACTATCAAATAGATAGTCCTCTGTGAACACTGCTACCAAATATGCTGCTTAAGATGTTAGTGAAGACTTCACTGTAGACTGGGTATTTTTCCCCTTGTGAACTTCCATTAACATTCCAGTAATTTTGTTTTCCACACGCTGCCTCTTTCCCTGACTCCCAACTCTAGGAATTACATATACGTAAAAACAAAGCAGCTATCAGGTATAGTCACAGGCATCGTTCTAAACACAACCAAGCCACAAACCCAGTTATTAACAATTTAAAACAAAGATTAAATGAGCCCAAGGACCACGAATACAGGAATAGACATCAGGTCCTCCCTTGATCACGCTATTTTAGTAGCCTAACTGAGGTCAAGTCACTCTCCATGCTCTTTCAGTTTAGCTATATTTGGTAAACTCATTTCCTAAGTAATTGCTCAGTAGCCTCCTCTACACTGTAAAAGTAGACTTAAATTGCTAGCAAAGAAATTAGTTTTCTTTCAAATAAAAAAAGGGACCTGTACATTTTACTACAGAAAAATAGTTATGTTCAATGCCAGCTGACAACACCTGACCCTAATATCATAAAAGCATAATTCAACCCATTTTGTGTACTCTAAAAAAAAGTAACATGGCATATGAAGTACCTAATTCCTGTGACACAGGCTTTGCTTTAAGAATTGCTTGTAATACAGGATCCTCCCATGGTCCACCATCTCGGATGATTCGAGTTACTAGTTCCAGGTTCATATTTCGGTATCTACTGAGAAGGTTCTGACATTCCTACATGTAAAAAGAAAAATCATTAGAAAGGAGAAAAAAAACAAACCCCCAAAAAAGTTGTTTAAAAATAAAGTTAGGTCATCCAAAAGATTCAAGAAAATCCAAGCATGTTTTAGTATTTCCTTAGTCAACAATTCAAGCCACACAACCTTTTCATTGACCAAGCCTACACAAAGCCCTAAAGCAATGATTTATATTCTCTAAAAGCAGTAATATAGAACTGTAGAAGCCAGAATGCAAGAGCCTTCCATTTGCATAACAGTGCAAAACTGCCTTTCCTTGAACTGGGAGGTATTACTGGCATAACGCTGTCAAAGTCTTCACCTCATGCTAGCCTGCACACATTTAGACATGCTGCCGCTGGATTTGCGATCCAGTGATGGTGTCTGAATTCTAAGAGGGAAAAACTGAATTAAGCCCTGTGAGTCACCAGCCCTCAAGCAACCACTTTTCTCCAAATCTCTACGTAATACAAATTATGCCTGCCTAAGATAATCCAGCATGTTTTAGCCATCACTGGTTTTCATGTACGCCAAGTTCTCCCCATCCCTCCACGCACCTTACATTTGGCTGGTAGAAGTGTCAACTTGAATGTTAATCAACTGTAGAATCTTAATCACAAAAGCTATCTAATTTTAAAACAAAAATAAAATGCAGCTGAAGAATGGCTCCTATGCACATACAATGAACTTCACATGGGCTTTTTTTACATAAATTCTTTTAGCTTCAACTCAGCTTTTCCTTTTGTATTCAGATGACTAGGTCTGGAGGTAAGGAATGGGTAAGTAACTGAACTGGTTTGATTACACAACTGATTCAGAAATTCTTATACAGAAAATTGTGTAAACATCTATATTAGTACATTCACTGCTTAAAAGTCAAGGCAATTGAGGGCTGTAAGACAAAAGCACAGAGGAGAAACCGTTACACATCACCCGTTTGGGTTATGTCTCTCCTGTTCATGAGAAAGTTTTTGAGAAGTGCTTACTGCAGGCCTGCCAAAATGTCCCATTACTCTTAGGCAAGAGACCCTACTCATTCCTGAGGCTGCTAAGCCAATTCCTTGACCCCATTCTTCCACCAGTTCTAATCCAGCACATAATGGCTCCTGGTTTGATAATTAAGGTAAGTAGTGCTGGCACGCGGTAACAAACAGGTATCAACATAAAAGTAACAAAGGGATAGCTATTTCTTAAACTGCAGATCTATGACCAGTATTAACAAATGGAAGAATCCTGTTGTTCATCTTTTCTTTCCCTACAACAAAACTTCCTGTCACGGTGGCACAAAGTGTTTGTGTTCCTATGCAGTGAACTGAACCTTCAGAATGGGTTCAGGTCAAAGAAAACATTCCCAAACAACTTATCTGGCAAAAACAAAGTGCAGTTCTTTAAATCCAGGTTCATTTACCTTATGTAGTTTTATATAGCCATACAAAACATTGCCCCAGTCCAGCCAAGAGAAAAGCAGTTTCAAACAATGCAAGTTTATGCTGACCTGAAGAGTTCATTAAATTTAACTGTTTAAAACCACAGAGGGAAACTTGAGGTTTCATGTCCCAAACCGGTGTGCAACACTGGATTGCATTAAGCTCTGATTAGTATAAACAAGCAAAGCTTCCCTCTTTTAGATGGGAAGCACGCAAAATCTGTCTTGAACAAGAACATTACAAAGAGAAGTACATTTTACTTTGTCCAAATAGATTCAAATAGCAATACTGACAATAAATATAAGAATAAAGGGCTTTCCCTTCAAATACCCTTCCCTCTTTTTTGGAGGGGTAAAAATGTAAGGAAACCAGCTACCTTCTTTCACCATAACGGCATGTTTCCTCCAGGTTATACATCCACAAAAGCTATCTTTACATGTAGTAAAACAGTATTAAAGGTTTACATGAAAGTAGGCAACACTACCTGGATTGAACCTAAAATATCTTTCAAAGGATCTTCATAGAACTCATCCTTTCCAAAGAACAGCAGCAATTCAAAAAAACTCCTAAAAAACAGAAGTAGTGACAAGTCAAACTAAAAATGTTCATTCAAGAAATGGAACTACTGTACGTCTATTACTTTTCACAGCACTAAAACCAAAAGTAAGACTTGAGTAAGTTCTAGACCCGAGACCATGCCAGAGTCACTCTAAAACACTTGGCTAATGCCCACACTCTCTAAATCAACTCATATTTCAGGAATTTTACATTGGTCTGATATTTTGTGCTGGGTTTTGGCAGTTAAAGACTTCCCCACATACACCTCAAACGTATTTTTCATCAGGCATCAAGTTGCAAATACAATACAACAGTTTAGATTTAAGCACAACTTAAAACCCCTTCTGCCACACCTTGCTCACAAACTCAGGACATTTAGACTCATGGTACCTGCCTGATCTTCTCCCTCAAGAGCTCTTATGTGCTCCATACTTCCAAAAGTGAACGTTCCTGAAAAGCCCAAGCAGTTGTCACATATGCAGCAATTTTGAGAAAGAAAGAGGACTACTGTAGAACGTCTTCAGGACACAGTTAATATGGAGTTACATTCAAGGAACAGTAACTTGATGTGAATGCTGATCCCCAAGAATTCGTATTTTCCATTGCGATAAGCACTTTCTACTAACGCATTCTCTTCCATTTCAGCCTGTCTTGACAAAATGCCCACTGAAGTCTCTCTGTGAAGATGCAGGTTTAAAGGTGCTATTTATTTAATATTTCCAAATAAAAGCCTTTTGCCATTAATTTTGTATTTCCAGAAACGGCTTTTGAAGATGACTTTCAAAGAGAGAGTTTTTGTGCAGATAAGAAATGGAACTACATTCATCTTCTGTATGGTATTCAAATGAATTGATAAAACTTCAGTGTTACCACCACCAGTTCTTAAGCAAGTAAGGTCTATGTGCAGCAACATGAATTCCTAAGTGTTGCCTCAAAACCAGTAGCAGATAAAGCAGAAGGCAGGACTGATCCTTTCGACAGCAGCCTAGATGCAAACCGACCTGTGGCCTTAATGTTTGAGCTTCTTAAAATATGTGTCTAGGTACTTAATTTAGGTATTGCTTTTAATAAAGTGACTGACATAAACAACCCTGATAGCAGAATCAGAGAGGTTGGTTGGTAAAAAACAGCTTTCCAAAGCTCAAATCAATTTAGTTCTTCACTTGCAGAAACATACTTCCAGGTAATACTCACAACTCAGTCAATTCAGTCAAGAACTAGATAGTTGGATCTCATGGATATGCAGATGGCTCCAGTGCCATCTATTAGAATCTTAGAATCTATTAAGATTCTAAGAAATTTAACTTTTATTGGGAAACGGTAACAACCAAGTGCTGCACTAAACCTGCAGTTGCTGGCTGAGAAAGTCATGAGCAGCAGGCAATAACTAAGCAGCTCTCAGAGGGGAAGGCAGTACTGAAAGAATACCAAAAGAAATACTATGCATCTAGGGCATTATAGAAACAGGACTGAACAGCAAAGGCTTTGGTCTCAGAACAGAAAACAGGCATAATTTTCTTTAAGATTTCTCTAGACATTTTTTTCCCCAATGAAGAGGGAGAATTACGAGGCAAAGGGGGAGAAGGTGGCAGATGACTCCCGAAAGAGATCCCAGCACTCTTCCAACCTCAAGTTTCTGAGTCAAGATCCTGCTGATGGCAATTTCGTTTCTGACTAAAGCATTTAATCTTCTGTTCCAACAGCTTTTAAAACAAAAGGCAGATTTTCATGAACAGCTGGACAAGGAATTCTTACAGAACAATTAAATTCACTGCAGTTGTCAGTGAATAAGTAAAACCTAAATATATTTGAAGATAAAAACCAGAGCATTCGTAAAGAACAAAATGTTTCATTTTTAATAAAGCTAATTCAGAAGAAGTTAAAGAGCAGACTGAAGGCCATTTTTCCTCTCGACAACATTCTCAGAATTACTGTGCATTAAACAATCTTAACATCCACATGAACAAAAGGAAGTTTTGTAGTGGAATAATGCAAATGTGCAATGAAATTAGGTTTCCTTTAAATTATGCTGCAGTAATTTTTCTCCTAACCTAAGCTATGCCTAAAACAGACCTAGAAAATTTAAGATACAAATCCATTATGCTCAATGACGGGATTTTTCTCCAGATTAGGTCCTTGACTCTCAACTCAAATATGGCCTGAAAAAAGCAACCAGTATCCAAATACGTACTTGGTTCTGAAAAACATCATCTCATTTCATGTTGATAAACAAAGTTTTGTAGCACACTTGACTCTCGGGAAAGGTCACACATGAGTCATGTCATGATCTGGAAAGCAGTCAGACTGGAACTTAAATAAGATAAAACTAGTTATAGCTAGTGATGCATGCATCCTTTTTGACTGATTAAAGAGAAGAGAACCTTGCAAAAGACAAATGATCTGGGAATTAACAGTGAACAAGTGTAAACTACCTGTCAATGTACCTGTTCCATGCTCTTATCAGCCTAATAAAGGAAGCTACCAAAATATTTCTATTTCCTTATGACCAGTCTCCGAGTTAAAATTACTACAGCCAATTCCAGCTTGGCCCAGCTATCTTAAAATAGTCTGCAGCACTGCACATTCATATTTGCATCCACCCATTCATAATAATGGTGCTTAGAGAGTTATCACATTGCTATTTTGATATTATGGGCATCAGAAGATTGCCCAAGAACATTTGCATGTTGGCACAATTATTAAAACCCCTGACATTAATAGTTCTTAACCAACATGCTGCCTCATTTGAGGTGAAGCAAGGCTACTAAGTAGTGGAAGTGCAACAGTCATTGCTGTTAATAGCTTATTGTTCTGGTTACCAAGGAAATTTTACTCAAGTACGACAAGGCAGTCAGGAAGATTTTTGCTGTCCAAGAACTAAGGCTGAACATACACCAATTTTTCCAGAAGTCATTTGAGTTAAGGATTCAAAGGTAACTGCAACTACTAAGCTCCAGGATTCCTTTATGGTATCGCATGCAAAAGTATGTCAGTGAACCAAAGTCAGAAGACAAAATAAGCTGGCATTCTAGAATGGAAGAAAACCTTAGTGAGTAAACCCAGCTCTACAAACCAGTATAGGAAAGGGTGACAGGAATTCAGTCACCAATTCATTTCTGCATTATCAGGATGTAACCACTCCACATGCAACAAATACTTGAATTTCTGCTATTTTCCCCTTCCAAGCATTGCTACTTAAAAGTATATAGAAGCACAGCTTGAACCTCATGAGGTTTCCTCTAAAAAAATAGCTGTGAAGAGAAAAGAGAGGTCACCATGTTTTGATGCAACTGCTAATCTTTTCCTGAGCTGGTTTTGTAACTGTGGTCTATGCTTCCATAAATAGTCTGACATCAAATAGTTTCATGCACACAAAACCACAAGTAAATCTCTTTGGTGAAGTCTCACCAACACTTAAAGATAGCATATACTCTGTAAGTGTACAAAATAAAGCCTTTACTCCTACATAATCAGTACTAATATCTCAGGAACAGTGGAAAGAATAAGCAACCCAGTCCTCCTGACCAAGTAAAGTAAGAAAGGAAGACTAGGAGAGCATTCACTTCTGATGACTCTATAAGGTGACAGCAAGACATTTCCACACGAAAGGCTGCACTTGATATAGAGCTGTATTTGAAGCCACCGCTCAACAAGAAAGCGGTTTAACCAGCTGGACAAATACATCTGATTTGCTCAAACCAAACTCAAAATACAAAGCTAGCTTTTAAGCTTTTGTCCCCATCTGCTGAGAGAAGATAAAGTACACTGCATCTCTGCTAAGTATATCTAACTTGCCTAAAGATTTCTTTTGCTTCCATTCAACGGTGAGGTTTTGAAACCTGAAAAATGGGTTTTTAGAGCAAGGAAAAGATGGGACGTTAACTGATGCACTCATCATTACCCTGACACTTTCAGCCTTCATGTGGGAAAGCCACCAATGCATTAAGAAAACTGAGATTATAGTAAGATTTTTGACCTAATATTCTGCAGTTTTTCAAGCTGAATATGACTTTTGGTCAGTTAGCTGCATAACAAGTCATTCCCATAGGGATTTTGATGACTCAGATATAAACATCCATTTTAAAATGGATTCATTTCTTAAACACTACAAGAAATTTACTTTAACAACTACTTAGCTTATTAAATCACTAGAGGTAGAACAGTAAAAACTTCAGATAAATTTATAGCTATGTACTGTCAAAAAGACTGATCTTCAAATACGCCAAAAGAAGATTCTCCCCAAAATAAGTCTGTACTGTGATCACTTATTTCTTTACATAGTTCATTTTGTCAGAAAACCTTTAGGACATAACTTGAATATTTAACAAGGACATCAACAAAGACTAAATTTTAGCGTTTGCATCCTCAGTTAGCAATTCTGGGTTCCGTGTCGCTATGTCACCTGTAAAACTGCTCTTAAACTCTCAGGTTCTCTGAGACTCTATTGCTATTATAAAAGTAACACAATCTATATTGTAAATGAAATAATACTAATTGAAAAAAATCATATACTTACAAAGCTAGGCTACTCAATACATATTGTACGTGCTCACATTCAGCTGGGAATGACACACAGGCAGATGTGAAACAACAGAGCGCCGTCTGAAGCACCTGAAGCTGAGGCAAAGGAACCTGCCATCTTCCAGCATAGTCTTCAACAACCTAATGACAAAAACACTGAAATATATATCATGATGTAAAACATTCTCTTTAGTTAGAAGTAAGTTGTTAATACTGTACCTGCTTTATCTCCCCTCCCTCCCCCTCAGAAGCAGGGTTTGTAACCAAAACCCTGACCATCTTGTGTTATCAAACTGAAAAAATAAATAGAAACTTTATGACCTACATTATAAAAGACATAGCGCAAAGGACCTACATTATTCTCTTCAGAGGGTGAGGCATGAAATACTTTCTTCTTACACGGTAGATAGTACACTCTTCATTTAAGCACAAGGGATAGCATACTGTGCATTTAAACACAGTAGATGGGAAACTCTGCATTTAAACACAAGGTTTTATTTTCCAAGAAGTTACAAATTAGAGAGTCCGTAACAATATCCAGACATTCCATTCTAAAACTTTCCAAGAGGGGAAAAACTAGCCTGTGCTCTTCTGGCCTAGACATCAGCAGAGAAAGGCACAAACATTCCAGTCACCCTTTATCTGTTTGAGTAAGTCAATTTGGTCTTTTTCATCCATACAATGGAACTAAGGATAGTCATGTCCTGATCTACAGTTACAAAACTGCATCACTGTTTACAGGGAAACGTAAAGGTGAAACATAGGTGTTTTAATGGAGAAAAATCCTCGCCCAGTCATCTAGTCCATCCTTTTTATATTAATAAATATAAATTCCTGGCACTGCCTATGCCCACACTGGGAGGCTCAGTAACCCAGCTCCACCTGGCATTTCGACATGTATCCCTACACTGAAATCCTCTGAAAGGCCCAGTCTATTTAAAGCACTCCATAGATAAAACATGCAGCACGGAGTTCAGCACAAAGCACAGCAATAAAACAGATGTCTGCAAAGGCACCCACCAATTCTGTGACGGACCAGTCCTTACATTCCAGTCCTCCAGCAAGTAGAATGCGTTTGGGTAATCTCCTTTAATCAACAGCTAAGACGTAACTCATGCAGCACTCTAAGCAGAGACTGAAAACCATATTTCTTCCACGCTCCTGGCACATAGTTTATCTGACTGCACTACTGTCAAGCCCCTTTTGCTCACTTACTCTTGCCTTATTCTTTCATCATAATGGCACAGCTTCAATATAAGCATAAGAGTGGACTAGCTGCACTTCAGGGCGGAAGGCACTGCTCTCCACCTGGATCTTTTACATCCCAAGAAAGCAAGAAGCAGATGAGGAAACACAGTGCCAACAGCTGTGTATAAAGAGAAAGGTAAAGCACTCCATAGCATATGGAAGAGGCAAATAACTGGCTTCAAGAAAGCTATTAAGTGCCAATCCCGGCCACTTATCTCAAGGGCTGTTTTGAGCTGTTAACACTCAGCTTTATCTTATTACTCTCCTTAGAGTTAACCTGCTTGCTTGGCTATTGGGATGAGCAGCAAGGTGATTTTTCATTAAAACATCTTCCATAATAACAGCCTTACTCTTGGGTAGTAATTGTCAGTTTGAAGGCCATCATATTACATGTTTGGCTTGTTTTGCTCCCGAAGTACCACTGCACACTTGTCTAAGATGAGTTTCAGTGCCCATTCCCATAAATCCTTTCTACAGTTCTTTACAGTGAGTACTTTATGCTACCATCATCACAAAATATTGTCTCACTGCCTGAAATCTCTTATGAGATTTAGTCCAGTAAAGCATGGACTAAGTCAAACATCAGATCTATCCCTCTTCAGGATTTCGTTTTGACTCAAGTCTGTGAATCCCACTTGTCTCATTTCCCAGGAAGTAAATGAAGAGCTTGTTAAGGCAGGTTAAGTGGCCTACATTTTTAATTCTGCATGCCTAATTTTGTTTATGGCTCTGCAACAGGAACAGGCCAGTGTCCCATTTCTGACAGCCACTCCAGAGCAAAGCAGCTACTGATAACAGGACCAGGAGCTTTGTCTCCTCACCAATAACAGCTGAGACTGATTTACAAGTAGATCTGGACTTTCCACCAAATGTTAATAATCCCTGTTTGAAAGTCTGTTAACTTAATACACCAAATATCCAGATGAACTGGAGGAAAACTGCAAGAACTGCAGATACTCTTTCCCTCGCTCATCTATTCCATGTTCTCTGAAACGCTTTTAGCAAGGTCCCTTGTGTAAGAAAACACAGAAGACATCAGAGAAACAAAGCAGACAGAACAAACATCCTTTAGTGGTTTTAGCCTCTAAGGGGTCAAAGGTACAAATAAAACATCAGTTTTCACCACGCTGTTTCACAGCACTTTCACCTGAGAGGCACAGTGTAGATATGCTCATAAGAGATTTCAAGCAGTGAGACAATATTTTGTCATGATGGCAGCATAAAGTACTCACTGTAAAGAACTGCAGAGAGGATTTATGGGAGTGGGCACTGAAACTCATCTTAGACAAGTGTGCAGTGGTACTCTGGGAACAAAACAAGCCAAACACGTAATATGATGGCCTTCAAACTGACAATTACTACCCAAGAGTAAGGCTATTATGGAAGATGTTTTAATGAAAAATCACCTTGCTGCTCATCCCAATAGCCAAGCAAGCAGGTTAACTCTAAGGAGAGTAATAAGATAAAGCAGACTGTTAACAGCTCAAAACCATAGCGCATCGCCACACATATAAAATTGCATGCTGGTTTGCTACCCACCGGTTTCTATCTCAAAAGAGAATGGAGAAGGCCTAAAAAAAGCTTTGAAGAAAGGCAAGAAATGCTTAGTGAAATAAATTTCACATAAGGATCAATCTAGGACACTTTAGATGGTAAAGAAATGACAAGTGCAGGGGGAGGTACCAAACAAGGCTGGCGATCAGGATCAAAATAAATGATAGGAGGTACTTCTTCACACTGCACAGTTAAGCTGTGGAGCTTCTTACTAAAGGGATGCTGTGGATGTTGAATGGCTACACAAGACGAAAAGATATCCAGCAGAAGCTACTCGCTACAACAAATACCTGAACTGTAAACAGTTAGACAGGGCAAAGTCACTGTATTTGCTTGTCTCACTCTTTGGTTAGGTTTATATGAACTTCTGGTAAGATTCTGGTCCTAATAATCCCCAAATATTGGATGCAAATAATCACCATTCAAAAGCAATACAACAAAGGCTCATGCTAATGATTAGTGTAGCATCTGAAAGGTGCAGTCCTACTGCACACAAGTTATAAAGAGCATTACAGTCCTACTAGTGGCCTCAGTACAGTGCTTCACTGAAACCCAAGCAAGCTAGGACACAAACTAACTGGCACAGGACAGCGTCCTCTCCCAGAGAAAAACCCGTCAGTCACCGCCTGCATCAGCTCTCTGATCTGGCCTGTCACAGATGTCACAGAGGCAGTACAGATATAAAGGCACCCCGACAACACCACTGTCTTAGGCAGTTAACCTGCAACTCAAATGCATCCACAAAAGCTTCGCAGCAACAGCCCCCCACACCTCCAACTGGTCAGGAAGAATATGAATACCATGCTTCTCTTCTGAGCATGGATACCTGAAACCATGCATTCATCAGTCCCAGGGAGAAAACAAAAAGACACCAAAAACCCCCAAACCAGAAGTCTAAAATTGGTCAATTCTCAGCACACTTGCAACAACCACCAGTAAAAGATGGGGGGCTGAGAAAAAGCCAAACTAACTATGAAAAATTACAAACCAAAAAAGGGGGAGGTTTGGGAAATAATGTACCTTTGTTTTACAATTTGATGTGTATTTCAATGTCTGTTTTTAAGTGATCTTACAGGATAGCTTTTTCTGTAATGGAAACTAAAACCTTTTCCTTTTATACCCAACATGGCACGCTTTGAAACACGGCTGTAAAACAACATAGGTAAAGGTTTATATCAAAAAGAATCCCCAAAACAAACAAACCCAAAACCCCCTTTACTGCTTCTGGCATTTTTCAAGGAAAACAAAAGTTGAAGGGACATATCTATATTCACCCTCAAGTTGTCAAGTATTATCAGAGTATTTCAGAAAATGAAATAGATAATGCTGCTTGAGTCCTTAGTGCTTTATTTAAACATTACATTTATCAGCATAGTTTTTAACAAGCACACTAATTTCAGTCTAATGAAGTCAGCCAAACAAGAAGCATATTGTCAAAACAAAGTGGCCTGTTCCTTGTCCAATACACAGGGCAGAAAACCATAGGGGAGGTGACATTCTTATGTGATGTTCTGCAACAATTCTCTTTGAGAATTCCATTAGCATGCAACTTCTTATATACTTAAAAGGCTCTCCATGCATCATCCCCACATCTGTCTTTACTTTTTAAATTACTAGCATTCATGAAGAGACAGACTTTGGGGCTGTTTGTCTTCTTTTTCTTATTCAGTACAGATACTGCAAGGGAGTCTGAAGCATCTTTCTGAGCCCTCTGCCTGCACTTCAACTCCATCTTTCCCCCATACCAATATGCTACTTCCCCTTCTTTAATACATTTGAGTAACTCATAGGAAAATCTGTGATTCAGATACATCCTATTAATGGCCTGTTAAAAATCAAGACCTGAATTATCAGTCTCCTATGTGACGTTTCTAAGAACACAGCTAAAGCATCTCACCCTGAAAATAACAAGGCAGTGATTAAAGACCTGAACTAATGCAAAAATAAATAAATAAAAAATCCTTTAAGATTATGTTTTGACTGATTAAATATACACATATAAAGTCATTTGACTATACTCCAAAAGCTTTAGAGAAATAGCATTGCTAATAACTAGATTTGCAAATACGCAAGACACAAGGAACCCAATGTTTTATGCAGCAGTAGGCCTGAAGTTGCTACAGCTTTTTCTATTCCTCTCCACAACAGAAAGAAACCAATTCCAGCGACTTTTAAGTTTTGCATGACTGGGATTTTAAATGAAGTTGCTCCCATAACTTTGTGAGATTTAGCAGCAAAAGAAGTCACCACAGGAGTCACAAAGAAGCCACAACAGTTCCGCGACTACTTTGTTTATAGCGTTCAGAAAAAGAAAACCAGTTGGCAAATACAGTGGTTGT